AAAAGTAAAATGCTTATAACAATCAACTTTTTTAACTTATGAAAGCGTTTCATCTTTTTGTCACAATAATAATGCAAAATAGTTTAATGATTTACATGTAACTTTGAGTAAACCTAAGGGCATTCAGATGAATCGGACAGTCGGGAATGGATTATCTAGAACAATGAAACAGTTAAAATAAAATTATGCCTCAATCAATCAAAGTAGTCTTGTGCGATTTTCTGTTTTTCAGATTTCGATATTGATATCTGGTCAAAATATCGTTAATATTTATAGTTATTATCAATGACGATAATATCGCTTATCTCTAGTCCAAGGTTATTTTGAGGAAAAGCCCTTTAAGGTTCAACAAAGTGATTTAAATGCTGGCAGTTTAATTTCATTATTAAATCATATCGCACCCTTCAGGGTATGAAACTCGAGGCATTCCTTAAGATCGCCTTGTTTCATCGGATTAATTCGTTTAAGACAATAGCTGACTTAGGCTTAATCGTCTTTTGCTAAATTGTTTTTGATAGTAATGCCCTCAAGGAAATGTCTCTAAACCTAAATAACTGTTTACGTAACATTCAAATGTCTTTTCATTCACGAGGTGTATTAGTAATAGAGATTAATATATCTTTAGGGTGAAAATTTAAACAAAATTTTTCCATGTTGACGAGAGAACGTAAGAACGGATACATTTCTGAGCTTTAATAGAAGCTCAATACACCCAAAGGGTTGGAATAAGAAATTAATGGTTTACTTAAACTCAGGTTTGGTTAACCATTTTGGGAATGTCAGTTGATTGTCTTATCAATTTTGTTTTCTTTATCTAAATCTTCGACTAATCAGATCGGAATACAAATCGAAGAAGATCAAAAAATAGTTGGCTGCTTTGCAGGTGGAAACTTTCACTTTCGTCATTTAGGATCGGGCTATTTTCAATTGTGTGAAAAGCTTTAAATACTTTAAATTTGAATACTGACCATTCAGGACATTTCTAAGACATTCTAGGACAGTTCGAAATTTGAAGCCATTGGAAGCCAAAGCCCCGTCCGTTATACAGGAATTTTCGCAATAATTTGAAAGATTATTATAATCGCATAAAACATTATGTATTCATAACTCAATCTGCTAACTTAGCAACTACGCCTTTTAATGAGGAAATCAACAGATTACAATAACAATTGAGAGAATCGAGATTTAAAAAGAAAGAATTTGAATTGTTCGGTGAAAAGATGTGCTAAGATTCCTCATGGAGTTAAGAATTGAGCTCTTTTAGGTTGGACATCGAGGTTAGTCGATACTTGCATCGACTAACTGACTGTTAGTCGACTAAGTCAACTTATTTTCACTGTTTTCAGTCTTTCTTTTGCAAAAATTTCAAAAATTCAACTGATCATGTTTTGCTCATGCTTCTTGCTTGTTTTTTTAGTTGAATTAGTCGATGAACGTATCGACTTGAATGAAATTTTATCAACTAACTTCGGTGCCTAGTTTAGATTACGGTTTGTTTTATTGGTGCATTTTTTGTTATACATGTTCGCCCTACGGTTTAGTATGCAATTTGGCAAACGACTTGAAAAAGTGGCTAGGCTAGGTAAGCTAGTCTACCTATGTCGAGTCAGCGGTCTCAGTTCAAATAATGATGGAATTTATGTCGTTATGGTTTTACAACACTTTGCCACGAAAATTCGGCAAAGAAGGACTTGTTTGAGCGATAAAGATGATAGTGTTTCAACGTCATGAAGCGGTGGCAAAGTCTAGAAAAAGCAAAACGACAATAAGACAGTCTGTCTAGGTAAAATTTCTGATAAATCTAATAGATACTCGACGCCTTTAACGAAATCTTTCAACTGTCATCTTATCGTCCAACATTTGGTACAACTTTGGTTTTTGATTCGCTCGTTCGGTAAATTATTTGAGGTTTAGATTGAAGTTAATCTGTCAATCTTTACGTTAAACCTTAGCGTTGTTCAACATTGAAGTCAACATGATGACGGTTAAGTTGATTGCTCAACATGAATAAGTTACTTTTCTTTGTGTAAGAAAAAGTTGATAATAAAATCTTTTTTGTTCACTTCTGTTAAATGTTATTAATCAAGCATAAACCAATTAATTAATTGATAAGCTGATTAAGAGGTAATCATCAGCGTTAATTGAACAGAAACACCATCAACACACTTGTGATTAAATCTAGTTAATTGATTAATCAGGATAAATCATCTTTTCCTTTTTTCCTTTTTCTTGAGACGGAACTTACAACAGTCAAAACAAAATGGCCAAACTGAGTAAAGGCAAAAAAGCAGAAGTGCAAAAAAAAAGGATTCCGTGAACAAAACAAATTGTCTCATTTGGCTAATTTTGAATTTGGTCATTCGGCCTGTTTGGTACAAGATAATTGGCAATCCTGTTTGGGTACCAAATGAGGTCTGTTGTTTCCCTTTGAATGGAGTCATGAAGCCGATACAACCAGTTGGAGTCTTTCCTTTCAATTACAACCTTATCGAGATGAAATTAATGGTGAAGATTAATGTGGACTGTTGAAGCTATCACATGTGGAGAGTCAATTGAATTATTAAAAGCTAACTGGAAGCAATTCTGTTCAACATTATCATTGTCTTCCTGATCATCTTGCACATTACTGGAAACAAAGTAAAAGTAAAGAGAGATAAGGTCAGCGAGAAAAGAGTTGGTTGAGGTCACCAGAAATGTTGTTAGTGATTGAATAACAGATGAAAGATGATGGGAATAAGATGAAGTTGAAAGGATAAACTGATCAGTGAGGATGCTTGGTTGATGTAAATAATATGTAAGTTTGCTTCCAGAAAAACATAATCTTTCAAGAGCCATAAATTATTGTTATATTGAGTCTCATCGATAAACTTGTGTCCGTTTCATCTTCTGCTTCCCTCATCATCTTTCGTTTATTTACGACAAACATTTGTTGACAAACAAATCAACTGTGATTATTTATCTTTTTCTTCTTCTTCTTCTTCTTCTTCTCTTCGTCGTCATGATAAATGCCCCTTGAGAGACAGAGATGAAGGCAAAAATAACCACATTTTTTGGTTGAAAAAAAAGATTAGATGTTGAGCAAAGTTGCAAAGCCAAGTATTGACATTGGACCGTTGATTTGTAGTTACACTAACAATTTGGATAAAATAAGAGTAGAGACATTTTTGACTGTAACGGGTTAATTATGATCAACAAATCAATGGTTTGTTGCACCAGTTGACTCTCCGTGTGTTGGCTCAGTGTCTGTAATCGTGTAACTCACTCTGACCGTAACTATGTGTTACTATCAAGTTACAGTGTGACTTGCAACTCCTAAATGGTCAGCTAACGAAAGGGCAAAAACTCTTTGTTTTTACTATTATTTACTCTCTCTCTCTCTCTTACCACAAAGAGTATACGGAGAAATGCCGTTCAATTGTAATGAACAGTTTAGACGATTTTCCCCCGCCCCTGGTCAATGTGTGTGTTTATTTGTTGTATTATATCTTTGAGTGTGAACATGGTCAACAACAACAACAACGCAATTTAACCTTCGACTTTTCGCCTTTCTTTCGTCCGTTTCTTTTTCTTCACTTTTTAACCTTACCATTAGTTAAAGGCCAAATTGACTTGATAATTTGACCTATTCAAGGCAAAAACCTATTAATACTTGGAGGTTGTTTGGTCAATGAAAGAAGAGAGAAACTGAGAGATGACCATTGAGAATCGAAGAAAAGTAAAATTACTGTCTTTGCCATTCTCATTATTATCGTCATTATGATTATTTTGTCTTTCCTCTTCTCTCTTCATCTAAGGTAACCTTTTTTTACTGTGAAAACTGGATAAAGACGAGTCTCTTGGTCAAGTCAAATAGTGCTAAATGGTTGTAACTTGTATCAATGTATACTATTATTTGCGCTGTAACTTGTAACCATTTTCAACTTTCATCTCTTCTTCATCACCACCATCATCATCATCGTCTTCAAGGTTGACTGGGTAAAAAAGTTCACAGATTAGTAAAGTCCTCCGGTAAGAGGGAAAGCTAAATGAGAGGCTAGAGAAACCCTTTCATTAACTTGGCATGTTTGCGGTTTTATGGATCAGTTCATCTTTTGACTCGTTTTTTTGGCAACATTTTACTGTTGATAAACACTTTACAGGAGAAAGTAAAAAATGGTTTCAAAAAATTGAATCACTTCAATCATTTCTTGGAACAAAAAACAAACTGTTTTCATGTTTTTTCATTGGTAAAGAAAACAAATCTTGACAAATGTAAATCATCAATCGATTTACATCTCAATACAAGTCAACATCAACCTTTAATTTTACTTTTAAATCTTTTCGACTTTCGATCAAAAATACATTCGATTCTTGCGACTTGTCGCGACAAAATTGGTGTTCAACATTTGAGGGAAAGAGCGTCGTCCATGAGATTGGAATTTGGATTTTGAGGGTTTTTCAAGCAAACATGCGCTTGTATTATAGATTGGTTTAGGCTTCTTTTGCACCAACTATTTAATAGAGTCACTATTATAGGGATTGTTAACTGCTAATGAGATGATGATAATTTGAAGAGACATTTCATGTTTATGTATTTTTGAGTTTGCGACTGATGACGATAATGAAGGGAAAGGAAGGAGAGACAATTCTGTAGCCAAATTGTCCCTCATTTTTGCTGTCAAACCTGAATTGATTCTAACTGATGTTACATATGCTGAGCCTCCCAAGAAACCGGAGTTTACTTGGCGCCGAGGTTTGAGCTCAGCTTTTGGGCTACAATAACTTCCTGTATTCAATCATTTCAAGAGTTACAAGTTGTATAAGTTTACAAACAAAACTTATTACTTCCCAACAGTAAATTACATTTTAAAAAGTTGAACCATTTTTCAATCAATAATTTACTGTTCAACTTGAATGTAACAAAAAGCAAAGTAAATGCTTATAAGTACTCCAAATGAGCTTCACACACAGCAACCTCTCTGTGCGTCTATGTATATCACGAGGTGGGAAAAGGGTGAAAATTTTGACATTTTTTTGGATACTTTATTTTTCGTTTCGTTTTGAGCTTTTTTTGTTCATCGATTCATGGTTACATTAAGTTTGTTGATATGTAAACTCGATATGCAAACCAATAAGTACAAGGAATGATGTCGATTGGAATCCAATTTACAATTACTGGCCATAACTTGGTTACACATTAAGTAAAAATAAGTCTTTGAGATTCAAGATAAAAGTTAAAAGGTAAAATTTAAAAACAAAAGTTGAGAGAAAATTTTTTTGTCAAAATTTTGAGATTCTCGGTTAAAATTGAACCCAAAATTGGTTGGACGGAATAAATTTGGTTCATTGCAAAACTGGAAAAGCAAAAAGTCGGACGAACCAAGTCTCTATACAAAACCATAGGCACTATCTGAATCTGAATCTCTGGAGCTGGAAACAATTTTATCCATTGGCGGTGAGCTAAATGATGGGAATGAAAAGGATGAGAAAGAGGATGAAAAGGCATTAATAACAGAAACTGATAACAATGGGGAAACATTTCAATGAAATATGTTTTGTTTGTCTCCAAAGAGACATGAATTGAATGAATGAAATTGAACAAATATAGACATATTTAACGGTTAAAGAAGTGAATAGCGAATTATGAAAATGTGTAAAATTAAATAAAAATGCAACCTTTTGATTGACAAGGATCCAGTAAACAGACAAGGACGTGTCCAGTAAACAGATCACCCTATAACAATATATATATATAAATGTGTGTGTGTGTCTGTCACGCCTGTCTATTAACATAATAACCTCATCTAATGTGTAACAAGCGCAGGTTAACAGTGTTTTTATCAATGCTATTAGGAGAAGGGAGAGAAGAGGGAAAAGCTTTTTTTGGACAGTTAATGGTTTTTATGAAAGGAATGACCATGTTGGACAGATGAATGTTGCTTGTTCAATCTGAATTAATCTGATAAGACGACTCAATGTTTCCTATTATTGTTATGGTGAGTTGCTCATGAGATAAGGTAAAGTCATTTACTTGAAAGTTTATATTAAAAGTACGAGACAAAAACAAAAAGAGCAAAAATGACACTAAAAGTACATTAAGAGGTGATGAACAAAAAAGTTCAAAATTTAAGCTCCAATATTTAGCTAATTATTGCTTTGACTAAACAAATCTAGTTTAAATTCAATTATTAATGATGGATAAGGGTTCGGATCAAACTGGCACACAAAATTTGACTTCAGGTCTATTAAACACTCAAAGTGATCGGTGTAAATTCACAGTAAATCTTCAAGGCATACAATGCATGAGCAATGCGAATAAAGATTAAAGATTCAATTGGAATTGAGCATTGCTGATGAGCTCAAATGAAAACCAATGAGATTTTCAATGATGTGAGAAAATTTCAGGCATTTTGAATTAATATTTCATGTTAAAAAGTGACTTCAAAGAGTAAAAACTCAAAATGCATTTCGACCGGTGACAAAAGGTCACAAAAAAACTGATGTTGAAATTGGAACCGAAAATTTTACGTACTTTCGGCGTTGACTAAATGAGACTCGCAAGATAAGTGTCCTTGCTTGTACGATTGTTTTCAATTTTTCGGATTTTTATTGTAGAGGACGAAAAATAATTAGACATACTTGGACTAGACATAATTAGGCGTATTTTTGATCTTGTTACGCTGGTGCGCGGTTATTGATATTTAGGCACTTTAAGTGAGGATATTGCATTGTAACCTATTGGAGTCACTGTAAAGGGATTCACAATTTTTCTGCTTTTCATTTGTTTTATGTGCTTCTCAGTGACTGCAATGCATTACTATCTTTAATTAAAATGCTTAAATATCAATAACCACGCACCAGCGTAAAAAAGCCAAAATACGTGTCTAATTATTTCTCGTCCTCTACAAACCCGAAAAAATAGAAAACAATCGTCCAAGCAACGGCACTTTCCTTGTAAGATCACACTCACAATGAAACTGCTCATAGACCTTTTCATTAATAATTGAATTAAAAGTAAATTTTTATAAAATAAAGCTAATAATTAGCTAAATGTTGCAGTTTTAAATGTTGTGCCATTTTGTCAGTTATCAGCCCTTAATAATCAAAAGTATTGTCGGTAATAAAAATAGTAATATTAAGTTGTTATCAAAAGGTATTATCTGATTATTTTTGTGAAACTTGGCGGTGATTGTAATGGCTAAATGGGTTTTACAGTTTGATTGTTATGCTAGAACGATTTAGATAAGAATCGTTTTACTCATTATTGTTACTGGCAATGGATGTTTCACTTTGTCTGCTTGGCTGCTATGGTTTTTGGTCAGGTAAAAACAAAAGATGCTCAAGATAATGATTGATACAATGATCAACTGAATAACAATAATCAGGCAACTGGAAAGTTTACCATGTAAAACGAATGAACCAATTGAAATGTGGCAAAAAAGTGTACAGTCAAACAGTAACACAAAATAAAACAATATTATGATTAAGGTTAAGTGGTTTCTTTTTGTGTTTACATTTTTCACTTGCTTTAGGTGCAACGTTTGGGTTTAGACTAAAGGTTGGCCAAAATCATTGAGCATTAATTTTGTGCATTGGTTTTGCTTTGCATCTTCATCTTGATTAGTTGAGACAAGATTGTCATTTCAACATTCAATGTTTTGTCAATGGCTAATGAAACTCTTCTAATTGCTGATGAGTCAATGAAATTAAATTGATTGAAACAATTAACTTGATTGCTTTTCACTTTGTCACAGACAATTTTCTTGCCTTTTTTGTTGCCATTTAAACACACACATCAAAGGGAAGACAAAAAATTATGAAAAGTGATGAAAGGAAAAGGTTGTAATTGTTGGAAGCGTTGAGTTGATGAAGAGTTGGAAATTATAATTGGTTAAGATAATTATCAAGTATTTATGATAACTGAATATGGAAGATGGAAAAATGATGTTTACGGTTAACTGAAAGAAGAACTGTCGGAATTGATAGAAGAAAATTGAAATTTTTCTTCCATTTTTTCTTCTGTCGCTTTTCATTTTCGGTTGACTTTTACTTGGGCCTTTCAAGGGCTCAATACTTGACCTAAATTGAATTTTAATCAATGTTTGATTCCAATGTTTGGAGTAAATTGAAATTTTTACTTTACCTTAAAGTTTTTTTACTTCGCTTCTTTTTGGATGTTGAGCTCTTTGGCGGTGGCATTGTGTTCTGATGTAACATGAGTTGTTTTGGTGAAATAAAATAAATGGAAAGTTGATAAAATTATAAGAGGTTTTGGTTGAATATTGGTAAACATGAGAATGAAAATTGAATGAATAATGATTGATAATGAGAAGTACTTACAGAATCGGAAACAGATTCAGCTGATCCCCAGCTTTTGATACCTTTAATTGCTGCCGCTGTTTTACGCATTTTGTTTAATGATCCAATCCGGATGAATGCTGAAGATGAGGATGATGATGATTCGGAACGACCTTTATCTGTCAAGTATTTTTCAATTTCCAAGTGAAGAGGCCCAGCAAAAATAAAGAGAAACAAAAATGTTAAAAAAGGAAGAGATAAAAATTCAATTGAAATGTTGAGCTTTAAGGTTAATTGTTGATCTTACCTGTAATTTTAGTGTGATTATGAGATGAACTGGAATGATGTTTATCTAGATAATGAAGAGAGAGACAAAAATAAGAAATGTTAGAGTCAGGTTTGTCTTTTCATTTGGCAAATAAAATGTAAAATTAGTTCAGAGTTGAGAGTTAATGTGAATAGATTTTATTAAGTAAAATTGTTAATTGTTGATTAGAGGAGTTAATATATTAATTGGGTGAAAATTCAGAGGTAAATGTTTGTACAGTTTTGCCTTTTTACTACAAACTGTGATTGCACTTTTGGTGAGGAAAAAAGAGGAACTTTTTTGGTGTAAAATTTAAGTAAATAAATGATAAATATATTCTGCTTGACATTTGCTTCTTGTGGTTATAATTAGTAAAATATGGTTAATTTCATTAACACTATTTTAAAAGCTTTGCTTAAAAATGTTTAACAAGATAATTAACAGAAAATAATTGGCCTTAATTATGAGAAAAGGGTTTAACAATGAATCTGAGAATGTGTTAGGAATAATAATTTCAGTTATTTCTTGAGTTTGTTCTTGGTTTCTTGAATAGTCTTGATTAGCATTGTATCACTGGTTGTTGGTGCAACTGTTTTCAAATTCAAGTCTTCAATCAATAGAGAGAAAATGATTCAAATTTACTACTTGAGAGTTTTATATTGACGTGGAATTTTCTCAAATAGATTGCGATGAGCTTGACGGAATCGACTACGATTACGGGTTAATGAAGAAGCTCGAGAAACAGGAGATGAAGGAGAAGTTGATGAGGACGGTGATAAAGTTGATAGATTAGGCGTTGAAACATTGTTATTATTATTGTAATCCTCGGTTGTAATAAACATCTTACGTTGAGACCCATTTAGCGATCCATTGCTTAATTTGCTGTTTAAATTGGCTGTTCGAAGTGGACCTCGATTAGAATATTGTTCGGCAAGTTTCCCAGAATAATCACGAATTGAAGTGTCAGCACCTGAATAGAAGTAAGCAAACAATTAGTATTGCTGATTGACAAAAGTCTAAATGGAAATGTCGAGTTGATTCAGTTGCTTGAGGGATTGTGAGTCAATTACCGTAAATTTTGAAAAGTTCCAAGATATGTTCATGATTATGGATTGCTGCTAGATGAAGAGGAGTGTAGCCACCCTGAAAAAGAAAAGAAAATATTGAAATATTAAAATATTAAAATTACTTTGGTTATAAATGATTGAGAAAATTTGAGACTAGAAAAGATAGAAAATTATTTGAAATTAGAGATGAAATCATCATTCCAGGCAATTGAATTTGAATTTTACGTGATTTGTTCAAAGTTAAATATTATCATTTCATCAATTGAAAGACGGATCAATGAAAGGTGATGGACTGGGTAAAGTATCAATTTGTATTACAAATTGACTAATAGTAATGATTAAATTTTCACAGGTCATTTTAACGGATTATCCAGACATTGATATGGGTTGCCGGTGAAAAGATGATGAAAGATGAAACTGAAATCAATAGCAGGATAAAGCATTTTTTCATGATGGTGATTATGATAAAGTTTGTCAAAAAAATTGGAAAGTTGATTCACAAGCGATAGTAATCTGTAGCCTTGATCAATCATGAATCATGATGATGTCTGTGATGATCGATAATTTTGTTTGTTATCAAGAAGAAGAGGCAAAGAGAAAGATTTCAATTTAGATTTTAAATTGAAACGCAAAATATCAATTACTCCAAGTGTATAAAAATGATTGACTTTGAATGATTATCAATTATTTTTTCTCTATCGTTTTGTCTCTGGCCAACTTCAATTGTGCCTTCAAACAATTGAAGTTGGAAATAAATTAAAGTTACAATCATGTGATGATTAACAATCAACAATAATGTAACCATAAATGCATGCCTTTTCAGGTGAAGATGATTCTTAATGAATGGATAATGATGATATTAATGAAGGTAACAATGAATAGATTGTGACAAGTAAAGCAAAAATTATCAACGCTGAGCTGATTTACGGTTTGTTTGGAGAGACGTTTGTTTAAAAAACGTAATGTTTAACTATTACTGGCTTCATTGGTGGTTAATTAAATCAACTTTGGTGACTAAGCATGGTGCAAGTAAAAGCTCACGCTGAGCTATGAGACAGGTTTTTTTGTTCAGTCTATTCACATATCAGGTTGCTTTAGTTTCAAATTTTTTACCCTCAACAAAAAGGTAATACTGGTTAAAATTTGGACACATTTAATCTTATTTCGTCTTTACTTTTCTTTTCCCAGTTTCACAGAAGCTAACGACTAAATTGGATAAAAATGAAAGATCATGTAACATTCAATATATGAATAAACATATAAAGATGATTACCTTGACTTTTCAGGGCAAAACTATTAATCGATTAAATAATAGTAAACTCTTGATTCATCTTCACCTAATAGACCTGCTGATATGAGCTGAAAAATGGAAATATCTCATAATCATCTGTTGAATATTAATTTTGTTTGTTTCCAGTTTAGTCAAAATGGATTCAAAATAATAATTCCTCATTAGCTAAGGATAGTTAAATGAGATCAACAGATGATGATGATGATGATAGGAAGTTGTTAGGAGGAAAGTTAAGCGAGTAACCACAGAGTCACAGCATTTGAATCAATTTAAGCACCATGTGAGAATAAATATCAAAATCAATTAATCATCATTAACAGATCTTAAATCCTCTTGGTATCTTGGCTCATGGGGTAAAGTATTGAAGACACACAGAACACAAGAATTGCATGATTTGTGGTTTTTTCCTTGATACTTTGCTTTGCCTCTTTTTATTTCAACCTCATCGTTTGATTGCTGAAACATCATCACAAATCATAATCCAGATAGCTACTTGAATTAATGGTTTCCAATTGATGTGCATCAATCAAAATGCTACATTGAATCTTCCATTGTGTATATGGATCCATTATTATTCATGAAAACACCAAATGACATTTGAATCCAAAATCTTTTAATACTTACATGCTGAAAGAGAAAAGAAAACAGAAATTAGTTATTAAAATAAAAAACCTTGATACTAATAAATTATGAATAGATGAATTTTGTTGTAGCCCAAGGTTTTCTTAGCCTCTGACAAAATCAATTTGTTTTCCGTTAAATTTCATGTTTGCTGACAATATATTGAAAGATATTTCAAGACATTTTAAACGTTTAACCAACAAACTGGAATTTAAACATTAAACCTTAATCTCAACCTTTTTCATCTTGTTCATAAAAAAAAAGATTTGGCTGTTTATCATTGGTGACGGATACACCAGGTAAGGTACAAAATGCTTACAGATTTTTTGTTTACATTGACACCATGAGTTCCAGCAATTAATTTAATGATTTCAGCTTTACCAAATTTAGCTGCCCAATGTAAAGCCGTCTGTTGAGTTAAGGATAGAGAGAGAGAGAAAAAAATAAACATTAGTAAATTAATTAAAATTGATGTCAACCTGAAATGTTGATGGCCGTGATAAGATACTTACATACTAATGAATCAAAAGTATATCCAATGAAAAGTGAGGAAAATGAAAGAAATAAAATTCATCAAATCCGAGAAAATTACAGTTGGTAAAAGATGGTTACAATAACTTACCCCCTGAAAATGAAAGGAGAGACAAAAAAAGTTATGAGTTGCAAAATATTTTTGGGCTAAGGTCAAATGATTACTTACCGAGGTGAAATCCTGATTTAAAAGGTTAACAGTGAGAGGAAAAAAATGGGTTGATCAATAGATTAGTAATTTAGCTGATGTAGTTTAGCTGATGTAGATAAATACAATGGGGATACCTTTAGACCGGCTAGAGTTGGATCTTTTTTCAACAAGGAAACCATCTCGTTGTAATCACAATTAGATGTTGTTATCATCCATTTCCTTTTTAGTGGATCGAAGGGTTGAACGGAAGCTGAATCGTTATCATCTTCCTTATTTGAATCTTTACTTCGTCCTTTGTTGACTGGTGTTGGGGGTGAATTGATGTTGACAGGCATTGGTGGTTTAATATCACTCGATGAGACAATTTTGTTCAATTTTTGGGCATGTTCCTTGACTCGACCTGGACTTGCGAAGACCAACTCATGGATTTCCTTTAATTTACCTTGTTGGCTATTTTGAGATTTGATTGGTTTAGCGGGACTCTGTTGATATAAAGGTGAGAAGAGATACAAAAAACATTAGTTGAAAATTTTTTAGTAGTCAATGGAAAGGTGTGATTGGAAGATTTGACAAAAATCTTGGGATTTCAGGCAAAGGTTCAGTGGTAATTCAAACTATTGGTGGCAAACATGGGAATCAATTGAAGGTCAAATGCGAGTAATTTTACAATTAAAGTGAGATCACTGAAGACAAGTGGTTAAATGAATTGAATGAAAATTGAATGATAAACAGGAAGGTGAAAGCAACGTCATTACCTTTGTTATTATGGTTTAGGTAAAACAATTCAAAAAACAGTAATGATGCAAAAATAGGAGAAAAAAGTATTTTGTACAAAAAAAACAGATTACTCGAGAAACATTCAATCTTTAAATTGGGTTAATCTGTGGTATTGATTTAAACGAGAGTGAAAAAATAATTTTAAATACTCTTCTTTCATGCTATTTTATTTTGCTATTTCAGTCACTCAGTCAATTGGTTGATTAATGTGTTTAAACAGATGCTGACATCAACTAAATAGGCAGATAATAAGAGTTAATTTAATGTAAAAATACAATTGTAATAACAATGATACCTGTAATAATAATGATGAACTGTGACATATTTATGCTGCTTTTGATTTCTGCTTTTGTTTTCATTGTCAAAATATTAACTCAAACTCCTTTTTTCCCAGATATTTACCAATCAGGTGCAACATTGATGAGCAACGTAATTATAAGGTTTAATTTTGATGAGGTGCAATTGTAACAAAAAATGGTAAAATTTAGTGAAATTGATTAATGACACAAGTTGAGAGATTTTGAAATAAACTATGAGTGCATCTTTGGGTAAATCTGAGGCTTCGATCATTTACGATTTTTTGAAGTTTAGATTAGATCAGTGAAAGTGACAATTAACCTCACTCATCATGTTAGTGATGAATGAAGAACGGAGTCATTTTTAATTGCATTTACTGGCAACTAAATTTAACCAAAATTGTAGTAGCGAGAGTTAAGGTCTTTCGTGTCAACGAATACAAAAATTTATAAAATACTAGAAAAGTATTTACATGGAAATCTATTCAGCTGAAAAGGCTTGGATTAGACTTGATCAAGAGTCTGTGCTAATAGTTTAGAAGCCACTGAAAACTTTTCAGGAAAAGCAATTGAAACTGAAACTTTATATACAGCAAAAGTAAATAAAAGTCAACGCCATCTATGAAGGTGATGATCACTTGGAGTATTTTGCTTTTGAAAGTTGACAGTATTGGCCTGAAATACGGATTAACTAAAAACTTCAAATCAAAGCAAAGAGGAAAGTTGAAATGAATGTTCAAACTATGATTTTTTTTCAATTTACCCGAATCGAACTGGAAATTAAATCAAATAGATTGTTGAATGATGTCTGAATAAGTTTACCTTTGAATCAGGGGTATTCCAAACTTGACCAAATCTGTACTCATTTGTTTCATGAGTAGGAGTTAAGCTACTCGCCGAGCTTACACTTCGTCTTCTTGGAGGTGGTTGAGGAGGAGTGACATCATCATTGTCAAACCAAACACAAGTGCTCTGAGGAAACCTTTTGGGTTCTCTGCTTGTTGGTGATGAAACCATTGGTTGAACTTGTCGTATTTGTTGATATGCTTGAGGTTGATGAGCGGCATTTGGTAAGCCTGGCAATTGTTTATAGCTTGAAGCAATAAATCTTTGGCTGGTTGATAAACCTAGTGCATTAGTTGCTCCAATTGGTCTGCTTTCAGCAGGTTCACGATTCTCTTTTTGAAAATTAGGATTAATATTTTTCGCGGCAACTGAATCATATAAATTATGCGGCGAAGGACTGTCTCCATGAATAAAAGGTACAGCATTGAAGCCAGTAACTGACGTTGGTGATGGAGATGGTTTAGGTTTTTCTTGAATGGCATCGAAGTTGTCTTCTTTCTTTAATTTAAATAAAATCTCGTCAACTTTTATCCATCTCTCTGAACAACAATATAACCAGTATGGGTTAACGATATGAATGTTCTCACATCGCATAGCTTTGGAAACTTTTAATGTACCCAGTTTAGATGCAACGACATGAGTTGTTTTCTCAGATGGAAATCCATCCACAATTAAATCTTTGGTTACATTGGCCCCAAGAGATGATGCCATAGAATACAGTTGGCTTTTTTCGGGTGGCATATTTGTTGGAATTAATCCACTGAACACAATATTAACACTTTGCAATGTTTTCTTTCGTACTAGAGGTATTATCTTTTTCAAGTCAGGTATATTAACTCCTTCTTCCTCGGTGACATATCTTTTCATATCTTTATAATGCTGGAAGTAGGTTTTATGTATTCTTTGCAATATGTCTTCCAAGTAGAGAAGATAATCATCCGTATCCTCAATAAAATGTTTGGTTTCACTGGTAGAGCTCAATGGTTCTTGATTATATCCAATAAAATTATCTGCTTCATTTCTCACTTTTGTCATTTCGTATATCAGAGACTTTTCTTTAGATGCATGAGGAGAATTGATATCAACGTTGTTTTTGAAGTAAAAATAAGGCTTAACGGCAACCAGATTAGATGCAAAGTTCCAAACATCTTGTCTATCATCAATGATACAAACTAATGACTCTCCACAAGGAAACAACGCCTTAAGGTTGCCCGTTTTTGAGGCTGGGTCGTAACACTCATCTCTCGAGTGTATTCGATGTGAAAAATACTTTTGATTAGGGTCAATAAGTTCAGCTATTTTATGTGCGTAAATACGAGCTCCAAAAGTGCAAATATGAAGCTCATAAAGTTTTGAAATATTTTCCAAGAAACGGAAAGTATGAGGTCGAAGTTTTGTGAAATACCAGGGTGAGTTGGGTCCATATAGTTGGTATTTAAAAACATCTTTCATCCCATCGAGTGGAGGTTCATTGGTTGTATCAATCAAAGTTTGATCAAGATCAACAAGTAGAATCAATTTTTCATCCTTTAATAATCTTGTTTCATAATCTTTGTCAAGTTCCTCGGCTAACTCTTGAGTTACCCTCAGTCGATGGCCAGCTCTACTTCTCACTCTCAATAGTTTGACACCGTTTGGACCTTCATATGTATAATTGGACGGTAACATGATGAAATTTAAACAAAAATTAATCACAAAAATATACAAAAATATAATATAACAATCAATTGTCAAACAAAAACTCAAGCAATAACAATTGGTCCGAAGAAAGGATCGGATCCATGGAAAGATACTTGCTATCTTTACAAGCTCAAACCCAAGCGCGATTTTTGATTTTTCACATTTGCTATAGATTAAAATTTCGACAGTCAGCTCGATTACGCCAATTATTAATTAGCTTAAACATAATTTCTCAAGCAGCTTTTTCATCTGATTAAACTAATTTTTTAACTTATTTACTTTATTTGGGTAATTGAGTAATTTAGGTAAATAGATATATTGTAATCAGATTTTGTAAAACAGTATCCGATGTTCATTATGAAGTTGATTTGTGTACGAAGATATAACCAGATAGATTCATTGAAACTCCATACATGTAATTTGTAACAAAATTCAATGAATTTCATTTAATTCGTTTATTTCTAGCCTTATACGCTTCTCGGACGTTTTCATCTTCATGATCCTCTAAATAAAAGCTTTCTTCTTTAGAAGGTAGATCAGTGATGTCACTCATAATAGAATCTTCGACAGTCTCGCTATGAGCAATGAATTGTCCAAAAAATCATATTCGTTTACGTAGATAGCTGTCTTGAAGAAATGCTTTGAATTTATGAGAGGAAGATTTTTGAGAATCACGGCTAGATTGAGATTATCACCACCATTTTCATTGAATTTTGGGGGACAGATTCCTGCTGATGAAACCCAAAGGAATCGAGATTTTATTCGCTCATACGGAAGCTCAAGAGCTGAATATACTTTAATCAATGGATGTGGAGTCGGATATTGATCATCCTGGTGATGAAATGGAAAAGAAAAAATTAATAACTCTAATTTGTTTATTATAAACTCAATTAAGTTGTTACTCACTTGCTTATTTAAAAGCCATGGCATTATTCTATATTGAATATAATTGAATTTAAGAATGAATTGTTTCCAATCTTGAAGATACCAACCATGAGGCGCTTCATGAAATACGTAAAACTTATCAATGTTGTTGACGAATCCGAGTTTAAAAAATCTTTGAATTCTCTCTTCCATTTTATCTGTGTCAACAAACAATAGATCAGGAGCTTTGTTGGTCATGGCATGGCATTATTCTATACTGAATATAATTGAATTTAAGAATGAATTGTTTACCAGCGTAAACTGAAGCCATAAGTTGATATTTAAAAACATCTTTCATGCCATCGAGTGGAGGTTCATTGGTTGTATCAATCAAAGTTTGATCAAGATCAACAAGTAGAATCAGTTTTGCATCCTTTGATAATTTTGTTTCATAATCTTTGTCAAGTTCCTCGGCTAACTCTTGAGTTACCCTCAGTCGATGGCCAGCTATACTTCTCACTCTCAATAGTTTGACACCGTTCGGACCTTCATATGTATAATTGGAAGGTAACATGATGAAATCTTAAGAAAAGTTAATCACATAAAGATACAAAATAAATAATATAACAATCATTTGACAAACGGAAACTCAAGCACAATTATGAATCAAGTCAATGAGACGACTTGGTGTAGTGACTAACCATCTATATTTTCCCGGTGAAACTTCTTTGATCATACAACTCAAATCTTCTTCGGATAAAGTTGCTTTTAGTTGCTGACAAAATCTTCGAGAGCTTTTTATACTTGTTGAGCTAAATCACGAACAGGCAAAATTAATATGCCATGATGGTGAGTAATTTGAAAGGAACATCCAGATACAAGGCATGTGCATCCTCTAATACCCTTTGATGAATCTAATGTTTCAGTACTACAACAAAGACATGGAACACGGCCTTTAGCACCATGAACAGCTTCATCAACTTCTTGAACCAAATTATACTCGATATCAAAGTCCAGCAGGCGGTCCACTTCATCAAGTACGAGTATTTGCAATGAAGATAAATCGAAACCAGCACAATTATGAATCAAGTCAATGAGACGACTTGGTGTAGTGACTAAGACATCAATTAACCATCTATATTTTCCCGGAGAAACTTCTTTGATGATGCAATTCAAATCTTCTTGAAACGAACGATGACCTACGGATAAAGTTGCTTTCAGTCCACAAGGTTTGGCAAAATCTTCAAGAACTTTGTATACTTGTTGAGCTAAATCACGAACAGGCAAAATTATTATTGCTCTCAACTTTACTTCAACACGATTAATCAGAGTTTGAACAATTGGAATTACAAAAGACAACGTTTTTCCAGAACCCGTAGGTGAAGAAACACAAACATCTCGACCTCTATGAAAGTTGTTACAGCTCAAAACATCAATGATTACTGGAATAGCAGCTCTTTGTACAGGAAAGAAGTTTTGAATGCTTTTTTTTACAAATATCTAACACTTTCTCCTCCAAGAGGTGATTCAGGCAATCCACTTGGTAATCAATAGCGTTTTTGAAAATGGATAACAGTCTTGGAACCATTTTGGTAAGGGAGCTTGAAGTCTTCAGCCTATGCCTTTCTTGACTTTACCAATCACTGGAAATAATTCCGAAGACTTGTCTGTTGTTTCTTTTGTTGTTTCTGTACATTTTTCTAAGTCACTGCAACAAAAATAGAAAGATTTTATTAATAAAAGTAAATTATAATATATTGATGCGTAGCAAAAAAATGGATGGAATGAAAATGGCAATATTTACCTATTGAGGTGCATGACTCCAAACGTAACAAAATACACTAAAATAAACCAATTAGAACTTGAGAATGATGCTTAAAACAAAATTTTGTCCATAAAATTAAAGAATTGAAAAGCTGCAGATAAAACTTAATTGAAAGTTGTTTTAAACATATGTTTGCACAAAACCGAAAAGCATGTTTACCTTAGATCGATCTATCGATATTTAACACGATAAATAGTTTAAAACATTTCCATCCAATTGTTTAAGTAATTTTTTACTAGTTAACTGAATCGTGAACGAGCATAATTCACGTACATTGATGTATAGATTTTGATACCAGTATCTGATGTTCGTGATTAAGATGATTTATATTTAAATAGGATGTGTGAAAGCATAGTATCGAAGTTTTAACTAGTTTTAACTAACTTTTGCCCATTTTTCTAAGCAATATGACCATTTAGGATTAACAATTTTAATTTCGTCTTATTTCAGGGCTTAGACCATCTATTTCATTGAATTTTGGGGGAATGACTCCTGCTGGTGAAACCCAAAGGAATCGGGATTTTATTCGCTCATACGGAAGCTCAAGAGCTGGACATACTTTAATCAATGGATGTGAAGTCGGACAGTTGTTGTTGTCTTGCTTTGAATTTTATGCGGAGATTTTTGAGAATCAGGACTAGATTGAGATTGAGAATTGGCTACTCTATGTCAGAGCCATCAGAAATGTGAAAAAATTGATTGGAGCAGGAAATTAGCTCATAAAAAAGCTTGATTCAAATTTGTTTTTTACCATTAATAATTTGATAAATCCATCACTGTTAGCTTCTTCACTCAGTATTGTCAGCTTTGAATAATTTAGTTTTAACTTCAGGTTGAAAGATTTAAGGAATCAAAGCAATAACGCTTTAAGGAAACTGTTGTTTGAACTGTACAAAAGGATGTCTAATAAGGTTAACTACTTACAAATTTCAATTTAAACTTAATTTTGCTAAATTTGTTCAGAGAAATTTTTAAATGTACAAACGGACTCGATTTCATGCACCTACAAGCAACAAAATATCAAATCTCACCCAAAAAAATTCAACGTGTGCTTAAAGAAAGATTTTTTCCTCATGTTTCTCAATTCTCTCGAATGTCAGTTTTCCTTTAGTTTGTGGTCAAAACCAAACAAAATACTGAAAGATTTAATTTTAAATCATTTTATCCAACCAAATTAAATATGATTATTCCTCTTCAAAGGTTCAATAACATTTAATTGATGCAAAATTTTCATAATCAATCAATTACCTTTTAACCCATTTATCTACATTTTCATGGTTTCACCGAGTGGAATAAACTTGAAAACAAAAATTGAAAATCAATTGAATTGTAAGTTACTAAATGAGCAATTAGCAGCCATTCAACCCAATTAGACATTTGAAACAAACATCAGGTTTCTTGACATCAGGTTGAAACCAATGCAACTAATTGGTTCATCAATTATCAAATTATTAATAACAAGTAAAGTTGATTAAAATTTTAATGAAACCAAAATGAAGCAATCAAATGGTGAATCATGTAAATTATTAGGTTATAATCAATCAACAACAGTTTATAAATAAAAGGGAAAAGCTTGAAATGCTGTCAACAATGTTTATCTCATGAGATAAGGGAGTTGAGTCGAATCACATTGTCGGATGAAAAATTTCAACTCCCAGTGATGAGTTGATATATCAACTGTAATCTTTAGTTTACCTTATTCTGTGACTTCAATCAACTGGAACAATTTAATAAACTTTATCCAATCAGTTTAACCAATTAACTATGTAGTAAATTGATGAAAAGGTAAATGTAAAGAAAAAAACAATAAACAGAAAAGTCGAAAAAAAACGAGAAATAATTTTGTAAACATTTAACACAGGTTCAGTGAATAGTAAATGTTGCTGATGAATGAGTAAATGAAAATGAATGCTTTAATAATAAAACATGTTTACCAAGTTGACCAGTTTCCATCGACAATCAAACAATCAACTTTACACTGTTCATCATTTGATCATCAAAATAAACTCTACTCTTGCCATTTGCCATAACCAGCAAATATTTCATCAATCAATTGCTGTTCAATTGTTAACCCTTCAATTGACTCTATCATCAGTTTCCCGGATTATTGTTGCCAGTTTTTCAATTCATTTACTCCTGACTTTAAATTGTGTCCAGTTGATTGGCCAACAATCCAAATGGAATCACTTTTGTTTAATCAAACATTCGATCTCATCTATTATGGCAAGTTAATATGTTGCTGGATAACAATGAAACTTTCCTTTCGCTCATGATTATCGATAATGATACCATGAGAATGAATGAAAGTTATCAAGGTGAAGATGATTTCCTGTTGACCAATAAAAGCTTCAAAATTGGACTAATTATTTTCTACATTTTGATATTCTTCTCAACATTTGTCGGTAAGTTTCTGACTCTAACGCTGTTTCTTTTTCCTTTTTGGTTGAGAATCCCTTTGACACTAAACTTGACCCTAAGAATTGCAATGAACTATTTTTTCAAATTCAGTTGTTTTGAGATTTTTGTGGATTTTACATCCTTTGAGACCAGCTATAAGCATAGGAAACTTGGATATTCATGAGAATAATAATTGCTGAACCAAAGAACTGATTTAAGTTGATTAAGCATTTAAAACTTGCAAGGAGTAAAATAAAACTCGACATGACGGTTTATAAAAGTAATGATTATTTTCGGTGGTTTTCAGGAAGAAAATGTCTTTTTAGTTTAAATAATTTATTTTTAAAACCAGAAAATGAAACATTCATTTGAACACCAATTGGTGTGATTCAATTGCTGAACAGGATTGCATGAAATGCTAGAAAAAGATATTATTAGTTTATGTCAACAGGTTAAATCAAGTTTGCTGATTGAAAAATAGTGCAAATAACTTCGCTTTAGTATTGATGCCAATCTATGTTTAACTTTTTCTGTCGATTTTGCAAAAAAGTTTTGTATCAATGAAATGTTTCACTAGCCTTGAGCCATTTAAAGAAATTACGTTTTCTGTTTGCCCAACGAAATTATCAGACGGACATTCTCTTGATTTAAATTCCTTTCGTTGATTCAGCACTGACTGCGCTGTTTCAAGACTCATCTTTTACGTTGTAAAACATTTCATTTTTGTTCCACTGAAAGCTTTTCAACTGATTCGAGGCATTTTGAACGAACTGATTGCAATTGCATTAAAATGTCTATAATGTAATTTACTTTTATCGAAACTCGACTTGAAAATCAAATTTTCATCAAATAGAGATTCGTCGAACGTCTTAGCTAATTTTCTCGAATTGATAAACTTGATTTAACATAATGCATCTTTAGATATGAATCGAATTTTCTAGTCGCTTTGATGATTGTGGACAAACTAGTAATAAAGAGAATGAACTAATCGAATTGGTAAAAAGGTATTTACAGTTCTCATGATTGTTTCAAGGATAATCTGTTAATTCAAATTGTATTGAACGAAATAGAAGCTTCAGACTTGGTTCGAGCTTAATCTCCCTGAATCTCATCTGTAAGAGTAAAATGAATTAAAGTTCAACATGGACTTACGGAAAAGCAAAGAGTTTCATGTGAAAAAGACTCAATTGAATTCAACATGAAATTGCAATTCTATTGATCGTTATTTTCTTGCTCACAACGAAAGCAATTGTCAATGAAAGCAAACAGAAATCCAAGACTCACGAATCAATCTGAAACTTTTTACTAATTCAAGCAGATTCTGTTAATTACAATGTATGTTAATCATTGCACTCGACTAATCTTTTGATTGCCAAGGAGCACTCAATGGTATTATAATTAAATAACAAAAGGCAAAAGACTAGCCAAGAAACAATTTTCTTTTCATGTTCGACTTTTTTCCAAGTAAAGGCAAATTGCTTGGGAAAACATTGAACCAATTATAATAGCTGTCAATCTTGTACAATTACAATCGAGAAAAAATTCTCGAGTAAAGAGTTTACGAATTTCAAGTAAACAACATTTTCGAACTCTTATAAAATTCCAATCTAGTTTAACACATTAAATTGAATAATCAATCAACTGATTAACACCGAGCTTTTCTCTTATTAGAACGGCTCAAGAAGAATAAAAAATCAACAGATTTTGGAATTTCATTGAGTTTCATTAAACAAGATGTTCCTAAGAAGCACTCGGAATGAACATGAAGTAACTTTTGCAGACAAATTTAGAAACAAATTATTTTTAGAAATTTTGATTGAACATTTTTCATCAGACTACTCCGACTATTGTAAGATCAGAAAGACTAACGACTTTGTTTGATATTGTCAGCCAAAATGTTGAAATTCAGAGATATTCGAAGGTGGAATTTTTTCCTTTATCCAGCTTTACATAATGCCCAGAACTTATGAACTTATTTTTGCATTAACTCAAAGCATTTCTTGGGGATACATTAGCTTCATTGGATTTAAAGAATGAACTCAAACATGAAAGCAATGAACTTAAGAAAAGTCAAAGGAAAATCCTATTAATTCATTTCCAACTTATGAGTTTCCTATTGAACTTTTGGAAATTTTTCGTCTTATGTTGCTAATATTTTAGGTTTTACTTTTTGGTTTTTCAAACAATAGCTAAAATCGGTTCAAATTAGCACGAGCCTTTGGTTATGAATAAATTAACCTAAAGATGGAAGAGATTGAAATGGAAATTTTTGGTTTTAAATTGAGTTTCTTTCAGTTTCTAGAATATTTTAGATCTTTCCTTTTTTTGACAGTAAATTGATTCAGTGATCAACAGAAAATGCACTCAGAACTTTTTATAATCCATCAACTTATTCGGAAAGATAAACAATTTGAAAGGAAGATTCAATATAGATCTTATTCAGTTTATTCAGATTTCAGTTAAACTATTCGTAGACTTTATCAGTTGATTCAAGAATTTATCAGAATTTGAAAACAAGGTTTAACCTTAGTTACCTAAATCCGTTTCCAAGGAATCAGTTGGAAATAAGTATCAAAAGTCGAAGTAAACAATGAAAACAGAATGTAAACTTGAAAATAATCACTTTGAACAATGTTTTTAATGATAATCGAATCTCTTGATTTTCTGAAAGAAACAACAATGAAGGAATGTTCAATATTTGTGACAATTTTTAACTTCTAAGAATAATCAAAGAAGTACAAAGAGAAAGGAGAAAAGTGTTGTTATGAAGGAAAAAAGGATAACAAATAAATACATTTTTTCAGTTATCAATTTCTTTTCAACTGGGAGTGATGCTTTAATACTTCCTTTGCTTAGTTTACGTCTTGACTCACAAAATGTTCAAAATTATGAAAAGCGCAGACAACTTTCTTACATTTTCGTTCAATTTTATAAAATTTCTAGTAACGAAGGCGCCTCTGAAGTTGTTGCTATTGATGAGCAAGTTTAATTACAATATCAACATTTACTTTTTTTGTCATCTTCGGAATTTCACTTCAGAACTGACAATATGTCAGATTCGTTCCAAATGCCCAGTGACTGATTTCCAGGACAATAAGCTTCTGCGAATTGCAGAACGAAAATTTACCAAGACGAATCAGCTCTCTCAAGTCGGAACGATAATATCGTTTTGAATTCAGCGTATCTAATATTTACCACACTTGATAAAATTCAAAAACATCGTAAATGAATTTGTTTAGACATGATCGGTATCATGTAGGCAAAAGTATTATCAATATTTTGTTGCTCAAACAAAGTATTTTGCATGGCATTGTAATGAACTGTGTTTATGCAATTGGGAACAATAATCACTTGAACAGTTTCCCTTGCATAACTTGAGTATTTTGTAATATTACAATGCTGATGACTTTCAAGGCGAGCTTCAAGGTAAGGAAGCATTTAAGGTTAATCTTGGTGCAAATGTTTACAACTTATTAGCCTACAAGTGAATTTGTCTGCACAAATTGAGCAAATCTGAACAAATGATAAATCCATTTTTCAATCATTTTTCCCATTCGAGTAAATATTTTTCAAATTGCATTCTCATGAGAAATATAATTTTATTGCATGAGTAGGCTTACATAACAGAATAACATGTTAAATTGAGAATTTACATTTTTCTCTATTATTATTGTAATGTTTGCAGGTAAATGGGTTGCAATGGTACATCATGGTAAAGGTAACAATTCCATGAGTTGTTGACAATCTTTCCTTTTTTACCATGAAAATTGTTTCTCCTCAAAAATTGATCGCATTTTGAGATTTCCTTTTTTCTGTGATTCTTTTCCTTCCAAGCATCATGTTATGATGAGCTTCATGTAGTTTGATTACATTTATAATGACAATGACCTGACCAGTTCGATGATAAGGTTAAATGGATTATTTGATTGAATCAAAGGTTTTATCAGATAATTGACTGATAATCTGTCAGTGAACGGATATCCATGATGAATGAAGAGAAATGTTATTGGATTTGCTCAATGATTAAAGACTGTTTATCGAGCAAATTAAAGTTGAAACAAAAATCCAATATCATTCCATGAGCAAGTTCATTGAGCTTTGCACACAGCTTTTGTTATCTGTTTATCTCAAGACTATCGTGTGTTTGTGCAAGAATAATCTTGAAATCTGATGGATTCCCTGTTTTGTGATGAAATTTTGTTGCAATTTTTCTGTTTCATTCACAATTAACAAAAGAGTAAAGATTCGAATTTGAACACGAATTTCACTTTATTTCAAGATAGTGTTAAAAGTTATTCTTTTGGAATTTTTGGCATTCCGAATGAAATGATACTTCGACTGAATTGATTCAGCCGTCAGAGTCTAGGAAACTTTACATTCGTTTAACAACCAATTTCATATTATTATCAAAATCCAAAACTCTCTTCAAATGAATATGTTTCAAGTTTTGAACATTTCAATGTTGCAATTTTTTACACTAAAATCAAATTATCCATTTTATGTTGATATCTTTAGAGCTTGTCTGGGTAAACATATTTGAATACAATTAAAAATAAGCAAACATTGAATTGATAACAATTCACTCGAGTGATACTCGAACATGTTCAAGTGTTATCTGGAAACAAATTCAGGTTATAATTTATGTCATGAATGAAGACAAGCTGGGAAAACAAGAGTTCGATATTTAATTGAAAAATTGTTCGATAACAATTATACTTGGAGTTAGGAATCATTTCTGATAGTTGTTATGCTTTTTGTTTTGCACTTTACATTTTGATACAATATTTTATCCATAAATCAGGCTTTGAGTTTGAGTTTCAATTTTTGTCCACACGACTTTGGAAACCAATTTGCTCAACTGCCTGATCAGATAAATTTGCATAACTGTAAATGCAAATTATGATGATAATTTTGATTGAATCAATGAACATTTGTTGATCTGTTTATATCATTTTAAAGTTGACTTGAAAGTTTCTTCAAAACTTGGCTTTCATTTATTTACTATTTTACAGTTTCAATAACAAACAAACCACTTGAATGTCAATCATAGCATTTTCATTATAACAAAATGCAAGATTCAAGATTTTGATACAAGGTTGGAGATGCTCTTTGCTACTGAATTGATATTTTTCAAGAAAATTGTTGACCAAACTCATTGTTATTTTGTTGAAAACATTTTCCAATGTCAACAAATCCTTTTCTTTCTGGACAAAATAAACTTTAAAATGATAATAGCCTTTTACATTAAATATAAATTGAAATTTGTGTTTACTCTTTTCATTCATAAATAATATTCTTCACCATCTTTGCACAAGGATCAACTACAAGTTGTTTATTAATCCACCTCTTAACCTTGTTTGGTGGTTATCGATTATTGATTCATATTTTAACAAGAAGAGGATTTTTAGAAGAGAATGTCTTCGAACTCAACTTTCCTCAAACAAACAGTTAAATTGTGTGAATTTCAAGCAAATCACTTCGTTATGTGCATAACCAAATTGTTCATTTGTACTTCAAAACTGTTCTGATACAAAATGATTTTTCACACTCATGTAGAGTCAAGCTTACTAATACTGAAATAAGTTTTCGTCTCAACAGGATTCAGTTGAAATTGACTTTCATGAGTATTTGATGCTTGCAAAGATACAAATGGAACTGTCTTTCGATCTTTCATGTAGTCTTGATGAACATATGCAAATTGAGTCTTACCTATTTGGTGTTCATTCTGCTTCTTTCTTGTAATATTTCAAATTATCCACTTGAATAGATTTGAAATAATCTTATTACATGCATTAATTATTATGATTAACTTATCCAAATGTACCATTAATATTAGAAACAAATATTAATTTTAATTAGATGTTGCATCTGTGTATCAACTTGATGATATAAAAAGAAAAGTTTCATTTAGAATGAATTATGATTGCTCTGATTAACCAGTTCTGTTTATTTTAAATCAATTCAGACGAAACTTTTCTCCTCGATATTGATAACATTTCCTTTAAATCAAAAGAAAAATGATCCATCATGAAATTTAAAGAAGACTTTAAAACATCCATTGCTTTTCCATGCATATTAAGATTGCAATCTTAAATCAACTGAAGCATAATCAATAAAATTCATGCAAGTTATCATTTCAAAGATTTTTGCTTCTGATATTTCATGATGCACTTCACATGATCATAAATTATTTTACGTCTTTACACGAAAACCTGTGAGAAACTTTTATAACTCGAATTGAAATATCAGCGCAAAAGTTTTCCTCATTTTATTCGCTCTCCATCATTATTCCCCAAATGCTAAAAAATAGGCGAATCGCACTTTAAAGGATTTACTCTAATTTTGCACCTTTGAGGTTGTCAAATTTTCCATGAAAAAATGTAAATTCATTTTCATTCATTCGATAGCAAAAAGAGTCTCAGTTGAAGTAAATAAAGTTTAATCGTCGAGAAATTGAATAAAGTTTGACAAGTTTGATGAATAAACGGAAATCCAAGGTAAATGAATTGTGTTAAAATGATTGAAAAAGAAGCAGTTTTACACCAAATGCTTTCCATTTTGTCAACTGTCCGAGGGTAAAACTAAAGGTAAACCGCGAGGAAACAATAAAAAAGTGATAAAATTGACATTTGATGGACATGGAAGTTGAATATACTTGGAATAAATTAATAACTTGAAAAGACATAACCTGAGTTAATGACTCTCTTTGGACGGTCAACAGAGTCGCCCTTTTTGCTTAAGTTAATTATAAACAAATTAATTTGACCTTTTGTTAACCCTAAATTATATCAACTTTTAAACTGCCTTTTATCACCACGAGAATAGTCTATTGTCTAGTTGTCAACATCATCAAAGTGTTTTTCATCAACAAAATACGATCAATTTAAAGGTTTCGCACAAATTGTTAACTCTTTTCATTTCCAATAATTTTCTTTGTTGATGATCAAAGTGAGAAAATTTTCTGTTAAATCGAGTCGCAATTTTTGCGCTACTGACGTCTTACAATTCAATCAAATATTCTGGTGGACTTTTGGTGCATCGAATTTCAGTTTTTTTTCTGGGAAAGAGAAAAGTTAATTGCATTCTTTACAAATGATCACAGTCAAGTATAATTTGATTAACTCTCAAGTTTCTGGATAAACAGCCTTTACTTTGTCAAATTATCGAGCAAACCTGTTGAGCTTAAAGTTGATTGAAAAAAGATTGAAGGCAAAAGTTGAAAAATTAACTCGACTTGGAAATGCAATACTTTAATCTGAAGAGAAACTCTTTTCACCCAAATACATTGAAATTATACGTAGAACCATTGAAATTTCAATTTATTTTGGACAAAATGAACTCTCGGCTAATGAAATGAACTTTGAAAATAACAAACAGTCATTTGACCCGAAATGAGCAGAACAATGAAGGCAAATAAAGAGTTTGATGCTGAGAAGCAAAATAACATCAATATTTTATTTAGACGGAGTTCGATCGATTTCCTTCAACTTCGAGTTCTAAGCGCATTTTTCATTAATTTTCATTCTCAGCTGAAGTATCATGTAAGGATTGGTTTACATGAAGAATGAATAAAGAAAAGATAAAAGTAATTCGAGACTTTGCTTACATTTGCATACATTACTTTGTATTCTGTAAGCACAAATGGCGATTTCATTCGCAAATATTTAAAGTGAATTGTTGAGTTTTGATCTTCTAAACAATCGAAATTTTTACTAAGAAAATGCTCATTCACTGAATTCATGTGAAGTATCGAATGCACGATAATTCCAAATGTACTATTCTGTACTTGAATGTGTATTCATTTTCTTACTTTTAAAACAGTTCTTTGCATTTCACTGTTAAAGTATTCAATCTTGTAATGTTTTTGATTTGATTTCGTGAAGTCTTTTTGGTCTCATTCAGTTGATCTTTTGACGGATTTTGTGTTCATTCGCATTCTGATTATATTTATGGAAGTTGGAACTTTATTGAAGAATAATTAGTTTAATTGTTCTCTGGTTTGTCTTTTCTTTTTGCAGGTAATTTGGTAGTCATTTTGGTGGTCATTTTGCAGAAAAAGATGAGGAATTCAACCAACTTTTTCTTTACCAATCTGGCATTCTCGGACCTTTGTGTTGGCCTTTTCTGCATATTCCAAGATTTATCTTCCTTTCTTCAGCCAACATGGTCTTTCGGTGTGATAATGTGCAAAATGTACCACTTTACTCAGACAATGTCTTACACTGCATCCATCTTTACCATGGTCATAATATCCATTGAACGTTACATTGCCATTTGTTACCCGATAAGAGCAAAGAAAGTACTTCAAATGAGAAACTTTCGTCTCTCCATTGCCATGGTTTGGATTTTATCGGCCATCATTTGTGCTCCAAACCTGTGGATGTACGGTGTTATCGGAGTGATCAATCGTTCAGGTGGAACTGATGAAATTTGTATGCTTCAAAAGCTTCTTTACAACATAAGATTTTTCAACGTTATAAACGCACTTTTACTCTTCCTTTTACCAATGATTTTAATGTCTTTCCTTTACATTCGGTTGGGTCTCAAGTTGAAATGCCGACGGTTTGAGACGCAAATTCCCTCCACAGTGACAGCCATTGATACTCAAGTCACGGCTGTTACAACAACAACCACAATCACAACCAAAACTTCAACCAAAACAGTACCAACAGTAACTGATCCCAAAGCTAGTGATAAAACAAAGTCCAGGTCTGTACCGACATCCCCGACTGACGGCAAAAGAGGATCCAGGTTTGTTAACTTGTACAAACTATCAGGCTCAAATGGACACATTTTAAGGGGTGAAGTTTCCTGTGCCACTGTGGCCCAATCACCATTCACAACAAGCAAGTGCCTGTGGAGCAAGAAGGGCGATTCATTCGAAGATTTCAAAGAAGAATTCGCTCGTTCACTTGGTATGTTCATTTCTTTCAATTGCAACAAAAGCATGAAAACAGTATTCGATCAATTTAGCATCAAAATTTGACTGAGAAATGGCAATTTCTTGAAAATGCAATAGAAAAGTTAATAAGAAAATATTATTTCATGCAATTTCTGCGAGAAAATGAAACAAACAAAAAAGTAAAGTAACGATCCAGAAAATTTTTCAGTTCGAACCGAATGCTTTCCAAGAATTGAAATCGTAAGAATTTTCGCTTTTCGTAAACTTTTTTTTTATTTAAAATAACATCGAGATTCCAAGCAGAAATTAAACTTTTGCTGGTTAGAGTATTTTAATGGTTTGGACAATCGATAGGGGAATGTGAATTTTCAAGAATTTTTCCAGTTCTCTTTTGTCTATTTATTTATATCGGTGATGATCAGACAGTTAATTTTAACTCGAGCTCATGGACTTTTATCTTTTACTTGAACTTTTCACATTTATTAATAAATCTGTCTTTTGCATTACACGACTTTAGGCTCTGAGTGAATCTCATTTGTAAATCTGATACGAAACACTTTTGCAATTTGGTTCAAACGACTTTTGAAACTGTGAAATCTTGCAATGATTTATAATAAATATAAACTGAAAATGAAACTAAACGTGATTCAATCACATTATTAGTTTATTGAACAAGAAATGCAATGGAATAATATCGAGAGAAAAAGATACTTTCTTGATATTGGTTTAGTTATTTATTGCCTGAAACGATAGTCTGAAATTAAATATTTGTCTGTTTGACTCAACAAATGAAAATGGTTTCACCGCAAGTTTCGTTAAATAAGCTCAAGACAATTTACAGAATGTAAACAAATTTATATTTATCACGATCCTGAACCTTGATTGCTTTCAATTTTTCATTAAAAGCCAATCGAAACCTTGCAAGATTTCCTCTTTTCTGAAACATTTGAACATTCGAAATGAGTTTTCTTATAAAGTCAACATTGTATCAATTGGATAGTCTGGATAATTTGATGAACTTTGAAATTTTAAAAATTAACAGTTCTTAAAGAGTTTCAAAAGTCAAGTTCATTTACTGAGAAAATAATAAAAATTCATTTTCTTCTCTCCAGGCAATTATTGTAACCATCTCGGTCGTGGAACTGCCAAAGGATCTGTGATCAATTCTCGCCGACGAGTGATTCGACTTTTGGTTGTTGTCGTGTTAACCTTTGCTCTGTGCCATTTCCCGATTCACCTGCGAAAGTTGATCCAAGACTGGTACACGCGATATCAGGAGACATCGGTTGAAGGTCGACTTGCAACCATTGTAACCAACATGTTAATGTACATCAATTCAGGACTCAATCCCATTCTTTACGCTCTTTTATCATCAAAATTCCGTAAATCGCTCAGAGGATTATGTTGAGAGAATAACTTTGAAAAAAAGTTCAAATATTGGTGAACCTTTTATCGATAAATATCAATAAAGTTTCAATGAAAACAGACCAACAAATGGATTTACAAAAAGACTGTAAATAAACTGGAATAAATGAAATGAAATGTACAAAAATGTTGTTAAACAATATTGAATAAAAAATTTAATGGAAATCATGAAAAGCTCATAATTCATTGTTAAACAGTTTACAGCAAATCAACAGATTGAACTTCCTAATGTTTCATTTGCCTTCATCAGAAAATTATTCTCGACTTTTCTTTACATTCAATTTCAACCTTTTTTTTATTCTTCAACATGTTCTCATGCAAAGATTAATGTTTTCATTCAGAGTTTGGTTACAATGGAAACAACAGAAAAGTACTTTTGCAATATTAACGTTTATTTACAACTGAATAATTAATCAATTATCATGTTATCAATCTTGCATTATCATGAGAAGCTTTTTTCACTTTCAAGCAATTTGAATGTTCATCTATTCAGTGTAGACTAATCTTGATTGACATGAAGATTCTGTCCTTTTTTCACACTAAATACATGAGATGTTGAAATTGTTTTATATCGAGAAATGAGCAAAATCTTTTATCTGCTTTTTCACTCCCAGTGGCAATAAAATATTAATCATGTTAAAGGTTTTACATTTTTATTTCACTCTTCAGATGAACTCTTTTTATTACTAAATGATGAAATTTTGCTTCTTTGGTTTACAATACTAAATGAAGCATTTCATGTTAACATGGCCAATGGAACCGTTGAGACTTATTGTTTGTCTAGTTGAATGGTGAATGGACATGAAGACTGAAAAGTGGTCATAAATGCCATTTTGTTTTAGGACAATAGCCTTTTGTGTAGAGTCAAATACAAGGTGAATGGAATCTATTATCTGGAAATTATTTCACTCCAAGTAACCTTTTTTGTTTTACCTTTTCATCAACAATTGAATCTTTTGAAAGAGATACAATAATTCAATAAATTCAATGGTTCAACTGGGAAGGGTCAAAGGATGAGGGTCAGTTCTGGATGGGAATTAGATTTTGCTTCTAGAATGTGGGGTCAATATTTTTCGTCCTTCCACCTACGAATTCAAAGATGATTGATTCTAATTTATGTTTCGCCTTCCTCACCTTTTACCAAATCCATATTTTATTTCATGTCGCAGTTATAGTTGAAATAAGACAACCAAGAAAACAGAAACATCTTGCAATAGCGAAATGAGCTTCCCTTACTCTTTAGGGACTAACTGTAGTCAATTTTTCATTACAGTTTGAAATGTAAATTATTCTGAATGTAGATTAGCCGCAAATCCACTCTAGCAATTTAATGATGTTGGATTGTTTTTTTTACTCTTCATTTTGAGTGGATTTTGTGTTGAATAATGTTAATGGAGCAATGCTCGGGTTGGTAACTCAACCATGTTTCAGGAAGTTTTTGTGTTAGCTATGGAAAGGTGTCAGGAAATTGTATCAATACTTATGGATAATTATCAATGATGTTACTATTGTGACAAATAATTCAATCGTATGTGTAATAGTTTCAGTATTGAGCATTTTAAATGAATACTTTTCCTTTCACCAAATTAGAACTCATTTGTTGAGAGATCTTAATTGTACATTGAAAAATAGACCAAACTTCCATTTTTGTATCTGAATAAAATTGTTTTTTGCTAATAGATGAAGGATATTTCAACAGTATCAACAAGCTGTATAATGTCATGGTCAGTCAGAAATCTGTGAAGAGGAAAAGCAAAATATGAATAAAAAACTAGAGGCCTGAATTGTAAAATCATCTATACTTAACACTCTAAACACAATGCCAGTAATTTTCCTGTTAAGATGGTCAACTTGAAATGGTCCGATGGTTGATGATGTTGATGTTGATAAGTATCATGATAAAGATGGAAATTAGAATGATATTTGTTAAAAAATAGGTGAATATGTTTTAGATCACGCCTTTAATTTATCATATTAAATATTAATTTCTGTATCATAAAGTTGCATAAAAGCGAGAAACATTTGAAAGTAAAACTGGCTTACAAGCTGATTTCAAGTCGTTTGCCATAGCATCAGCTGACTGACTTGCTAAGAATGGCTAGCTTCGGATTTTTAGACTTAAGACTGTTGTCATAGTTACACAGTAATCAAACAGCATTCTCTGTTCATTGTTATTGTTTTAATTTTGTTTAACAAATGGTTTTCAATTAACATTTTGTAGTTTTTGATCATCGCTATAATTAAATTTCATTATGCTACCGTCTATCATTACATATGAAGGACCAAACGGTGTCAAATTGTTGAAATGGAAAATTAAACCTGGCCATCGATTGACATCGGGAACATTAATGTTTATCTACTCTAACTCAATAAAATACAAATCTAACAACTATGGAACTACTATGGAACTGTTGGTTAAGGAGGGAGACACGATTTACAATCATGATCCAATTGTCAAATATATTCCGTGCTCTCATCCAACTGTAATGAAAGATCTTTGCGCTGAATGTGGACGAGATCTTCGAGAGTTAGGTGAGTGTCAAGTTTTCTAATTTTCATGAAAAAATATTTTACAACTTTTACCGTTCCAAATCTAATGATTACCAATTTTTCTGAATTTTTTTTTCATCAATAGAGGATTATTCAAATGCAACATCTGCTTCTGTTTGTATGGTTCATTCAGTTCCCGAACTGAGAGTTACTCAAGAACAAGCTGAGAAACTTGGCAAAGATGATGAAACAAGATTATTAAAGGATGAAAAATTGGTTCTACTTGTCGATCTTGACCAAACATTGATTCATTCAACCAATGAACCTTTACCAGAAGGCTTAGAAGATGTTTTTAAATACCAACTATATGGACCCAACTCACCCTGGTATTTCACAAAACTTCGACCTCATACTACTCGTTTTTTGGAAAATATTTCAAAACTCTATGAGCTTCATATTTGCACTTTTGGAGCTCGTATGTACGCACATAAAATAGCTGAACTTATTGATCCTAATCAAAAGTTTTTTTCACATCGAATACTTTCAAGAGATGAATGTTTTGACCCAACATCTAAAACGGGTAATCTTAAAGCGTTGTTTCCTTGTGGAGATTCATTAGTTTGTATCATTGACGATAGGCAAGATGTTTGGAACTTTTCACCTAATTTGATTGCTGTTAAGCCTTATTTTTATTTCAAAAATACCGGTGATATTAATTCTCCTTATAAACCTAAAGAATCAACTTTGGTTTATGAAATGACAAAAGTTAAAACTGAAACTGAGGAGACAACAAAGGACAATCAAGAACCATCGACCTCTACCAGTGAAAACAAACCAATTGAGGATACAGATGATTATCTTCTCTACTTGGAAGACATATTGCAAAGAATACATAAAACTTACTTTCATAATTATAAAGATTTGAAAAAATATGTCAGTGAAGAAGAGGAGATTAATATCCCAGACCTGAAAAAGATAATACCTCTAGTACGAAAGAAAACATTGCAAGGTGTTAATATAGTGTTCAGTGGATTAATCCCAACAAATATGCCACCCGAAAAAAGCAAACTGTATTCTATGGCAATATCCCTTGGTGCCAATGTAACCAAGGATATAATTTTGAATGGATCACCATTAGAGAAGACAACTCACCTTATCGCATCTAAATTCGGTACAATGAAAGTTACCAAAGCTCTAAAATGTGACAAAATTAAGATTGTTAATCCTCACTGGTTATATTGTTGTTCAGAAAGATGGGAAAAAGTTGATGAAATTTTGTTTGAACTAAAAAAAGACGACAACTTCGAAGCTATCCAAGATAAACCTAAATCATCGCCAACACCGACACCAGATAGTGGTTTTGAGGCTGGATCCAGTAGTGGGGAGAGCTCTTCTCCTACTAATGCATTTGAAGAGTGTCCTGTTTATGACTCAGTTACCGGGAAAAAAATAAGCAAGAGTCAAAAAGACAATCTTGAATCAGCTGAAAGTAAAATTTTGAGTAAACCAAGCAGTTCAAAGGTTTTTTTAGATGAAGATGAACTTCAATCAGAGAATATGCACCAATTCAGTTCTTTATCGGGATTCTCCAAAAATGATCTTCAGCTTATGGATAAGGAAGTTGACGATGCTTGTTCTGAAGGTGATGGTGTGTCTTCCGATGATGAAGAGGATAATTCCCGTCTATTGGGTACCAGTTCTGATGGTTATAAAAGAAGAGTTGAATGGGACTCTGATGAAGAAGCGGACATTGGAGATGAAGATGAAGACGAGGAAGGAGAACAATCAAAGTTTTCGAAAAATTGGAATAAGAGTAAAAAATGTAAATTTGCTTGCACTCGGTTAGCTGATGATGATGAAACTCGTGATTCATTTGCAGAACGTAGTGATTCATCGGGCAGCGATGAATACAACGAATCTATTGGGTCGGTTGATGAAGAAATGGCGGCAGCCGTTGAAAGGGAATTTTTGAGTTAAGTGATTATTTTCACCGTTCTCATTGCCATCTATACCATTTCTCATTATCTTCATCATGTTCATCTTCCCATCTCACGTGAATTTTCATAAATTTTTCCTCTCACTCTTCTCACCATACTCCAGTTTACATCCTCATCCCATTCATTTTTGATGCTAACATTTAATATTATCTTAATGTTCGTAACCATTGTAGTTAAATGAAAGAAGGTTAAATGTTAGCTCAAAATGTTTTTGTGAAATAACTTGATAAATATTAACATTCAATAAATATTAGCGTTCTATAAATATTCGGCTTTTATTTGCATCGTATGATTGAAAATTATTGTAAAAATTTCATTCTATGAAATCTCCATACGACCGACTATCGATAGATCGAAGCAAATGCTCAATAAGCATTGCTCATTAAACACATTTCTACTCATATGTGATTCAAATCATAATAAATAATGTAATGCAGTTTAATTCTTTAATTTACTGATTTTTCTATTACTATTTTGTTTTAGTTTATTATTAAATGTATATAAATTGCCTTAGTGTCTTCTGATATTATCTGGTCATCATGATTCGCAACCCTGCACTCAAACGGTAAATATTTCAATTTTGGTTATTTTTAAGCAGTTTGATATTAATTTGCGTTAATCATCATATTTATCTGTTCTGCTTCTTGTTTTTTGATTAAGTGCATTTCCAATGATTTTTGCTCCAAAACAAATGGAAAAGATTAAGAACCATTGTAAAATGATTGGTGTACCCTTCAAAATAGATGAAATAACGAGGACATACCAGTTTTGGGTTGACAATTTATCCGTTGCCTCACACTATGATCGTGATGAAAGACCCGTCAATCAAATTGATACAATCAATAATGTTTTGACTAATAAAGCTCCTGATCTATTGTTTGTTGACACAGCTAAAATGGAAGAGAGAATTCAAAAATTTTTTCAACTGGGCTTCGTCAACAATATTGATAAGTTTTACGTATTTCATGAAGCACCTCATGGTTGGTATCTTCAAGATTGGAAACAATTCATTCTTAAATTCAATTATATTCAATATAGAATAATGCCATGGCTTTTACATAAGCAAGTGAGTAACAACTTTATTGAGTTCATGATAAACAAATTAGAGTTATTAATTTTTTCTTTTCCATTTTATCACCAGGATGATCAATATCCGACTCCACATCCATTGATTAAAGTATGTTCAGCTCTTGAACTTCCGTATGAGCGAATAAAATCTCGATTCCTTTGGGTTTCATCAGCAGGAATCTGTCCCCCAAAATTCAATGAAAATGGTGGTGATAATCTCAATCTAGTCGTGATTCTCAAAAATCTTCTCCTCACAAATTCAAAGCATTTCGTCAAGACTGCTACACCTGGTATTCATATAAACGAATATGAGTTTTTTGAAAAATTCATTGCTCATAACGAGACTGTCGAAGATTCTATTATGAGTGATATCACTGATCTACCTTCTAAAGAAGAAAGCTTTTATTTAGAGAACCATGGAGATGAAACCGTCCGAGAAGCGTATAAGGCTAGAAATAAACGAATTAAATGAAATTCATCGAATGACATATGATATTATTATATGATCGAGATTATGCAGTTTCAATCAAGCCAACTGGGATTGATAGAGCATCATTAATTCAACAAAAATTAGATTATTAAAATAATATCTTTGCTTGGAAAGCATTTGAGATATTTATTATTGAGATAATACAGATCATCCTTGTTTCCATTTTAATCTTGTAGATCATCAAAGAAAGAAACCCATGTTGATATATTGTATCTAAATTCAGCTTAATGGAAGGTACACAAAGCCCTGAACTGGGACGAAATTAAAGTTGTTAATCTACACTGGTTATATCGTTCAGAAAGATGGGAAAAGTTGTACTATTTGGATGCTATCCTATTTGAACAAAAATCATTTTCATCACGAGCACCAGATACTGGTTTTAAAATCTATTAATTAAATTTTGAATACACCTGAATTATGCTCGTTCACGATTCAGTTATCTAATAAAAAATTACTCTAATCAGAAGATGGAAATGTTTTAAACTATTTATCGTGTTGACTATCGATAGATCGATCTTTAGTAAACATGCTTTTCGCTTTTACAAACACATGTTTAAAATAACTTTCACCATCTAGCCAATCAATTATTTAATTTCATGGACAAAATTTTGTTTTAAGCATCATCCTCAAGTTCTAATTGGTTTATTTTAGTGTATTTTGTTACGTTTGGAGTCATGCACCTCAATAGGTAAATATTGCCATTTTTATTCCATTCATTTTTTTGCTACGCATCAATATATTATAATTTACTTTTATTAATAAAATCTTTCTATTTTTGTTGCAGTGACTTAGAAAAATGTACAGAAACAACAAAAGAAACAACAGACAAGTCTACGGAATTATTTCCAGTGATTGGTAAAGTTAAGAAAGGCATAGGCCGAAGACTTCAAGCTCCCTTACCAAAATGGTTCCAAGACTATTATCCATTTTCAAAAGATGTAAGTGCTATTGATTACCAAGTGGATTGCCTGAATCACCTCTTGGAGGATAAAGTGTTGGATATTTGTAAAAAAAGCATCGAAAACTTCTTTCCTGTACAAAGAGCTGCTATTCCAGTAATCATTGATGTTTTGAGCTGTAACAACTTTCATAGAGGTCGAGATGTTTGTGTTTCTTCACCTACGGGTTCTGGAAAAACGTTGTCTTTTGTAATTCCAATAGTTCAAACTCTGATTAATCGTGTTGAAGTAAAGTTGAGAGCAATCATAATTTTGCCTGTTCGTGATTTAGCTCAACAAGTATACAAAGTTCTTGAAGATTTTGCCAAACCTTGTGGACTGAAAGCAACTTTATCCGTAGGTCATCGTTCTTTTCAAGAAGATTTGAATTGCATCATCAAAGAAGTTTCTCCGGGAAAATATAGATGGTTAATTGATGTCTTAGTCACTACACCAAGTCGTCTCATTGACTTGATTCATAATTGTGCCGGTTTCGATTTATCTTCATTACAAATACTCGTACTTGATGAAGTGGACCGCCTGCTGGACTTTGATATCGAGTATAATTTGGTTCAAGAAATTGATGAAGCTGTTTATGGTGCTAAAGGTCGTGTTCCATGTCTTTGTTGTAGCACTGAAACATTAGATTCATCAAAGGGTATTAGAGGATGCACATGCCTTGTATCTGGATGTTCCTTTCAAAATTACTCACCATCATGGCAGCCATATATTAAATTGATATTTTCTGCAACCCTAGCCAAAGACACCGACAATTTATTTAAGCTTAACCTTTTCAAACCTATTGTTTTGATGGGAATAGACTCTAATAATCCAACTGAAGCTCCTTTATCAAAGGAAAAAGATGTGCATAAAATGGCTAAAAACATTCTCCCTGCTGAGTTGAAGGAAAAGTTTTTAATCGTTCCGTCCATGAAAAAACCTCTAGCTTTCTGGTACATGATAACTAATCTCAAATACCGTCGAGTTCTTTGTTTCACTAGGACCATTAAACACTCTCGTCTTCTTACTGATATTCTGAAAAAAGTAGACTCTCTAAAAGTGTTCAACATTTCATCAAAGTTATCTGATGAAAGTCGATCCAAAGTTATTGAAAAATTTAAAAATGGTGATTACGATATTATCATAACAACTGATATAATGGCTCGTGGAATCGACATCGAAGGAATAGATTATGTTATATCGTATGACGTTCCTTTCGATGAGATCCAGTATGTTCATCGTGTTGGCAGAACTGCTAGAGCTGGACGTCCAGGAACTGCTATTACAATTCTGTCTCACGATCAGGTTAAGAGATTTCACATACTCATGAGGAAAATTCATCTTAAAGAAGATCTTAAAACTAAAATTACTAAGATGAACATTGAGACAAGAAAGTTGAATAAATTGAAATCAAAATTCCGTAAAGCCTCAAATTTACTGCGACAAGAAAACAATTTAGAAACTTGGAAAAAAGTGAAAAGGAAAAAAGCAATTGCATGGAAAGCGTTGGGCGCTAATAAACAATCGGAATCCAGCGACAAAAGCCTTAAACAGAAACAAGCTAAATAAATTATTAAATTTGCTTGCAATAAATAATTTTGAAATAATACAATTTATATAAAAAATAAAACAACTTTATTTTCAACAATTCATATAAGTTGATTGAAATTATTTCCTTCAAATAATCCATACAAATTTACTATTCAACATTTATGAATTAATTTCAATATCATTTATATCCAGTATTTACAATCACTGTGTCTAATCAGGCTTGTAAATCACTTTAGTGCTCATATTAATTTTACAATAATATACCGATCGTATTTGAATCCTTCAAATCGATCAATTTCAATTGAATGAAGCTCATAATGATCATTATGATTGACAAATCTGATAAACGACGAAGCTTTCATAGGATGCGCAATCACTTGCTAAGAATGTATAAGAATGTGAATTTCATGAGTTTCAGAATTTTGAGGGAAAAAGCATCTTCATTGATCCACTTGTTTTTGCTCATAATGTTCATTATTTGTTGTGTTTACATTTTTTGAGAAATGAAATAATCTTGAACTGAACTTATAATGTTGATCTTCGCTTGTTAACTTCTTAGCAATTACGCTTTCGAGTGAAATTGTCCATGGAGAATATACTTGGTTATTGTCAACCTGGTAATTTTGATAAAAAAGGTAACAAACTTGATCATCGATTTACAGGAAATATTGTACTTTTTTAAATCAATTAATTTTCTTGTGATCTTTTTGATTCTATTTTTTCAACCATTCAAGTTGATTTACCACCTCCTCCTTACGATGCAGCGATAACGCAAAACACTGAGCCATTAGAGTTACCACTCTCTGGGTAAGAGTTTAAACAATAATTAATAAATGCACGAACACTAATTTGCATGAAATATGCTCATTAATCATTCCATTTGAATTCAATAGAAAAAATAAAAAATGAAAGGACGAGAGTTTAAAAGATCAATGACTTTTAATCGATCCACCAACTTTAATAAGCAAATATGGTAAATGGTTATTTATAAATATTAAATTGATACAAAATTTAATGTTTAAAAATTGGACATCAAATCAATCTTGAAATCGAGCATGAGTTCATTGATTGATTTGGTAGTTAAATGCATTAATTTGATAAAATCTAGATTAATCACTTGAATTTGTTTACAAAAATTGGTCGATATCCTTTTTTCACAGCCGCCATCTATTGAATAAATTTGTTTTGAATGTAGATTAGTAGCAAGAACCGTTGTACACAATTAAGTGATATTAAATTGTTGTTTTCCTGTTTTATTTCATCAACAGAAATTTGGAATTGAGTGAGAATGATGTTTATGAAGCGCTACTCAATCATGTTTCAAAATTTATATGCTATGGTAAAGGAGTCGTGAAGGAAATGATAATCATCAAAATGGAGCAATTTTATGCTTATCGAGTAAGTTCAATTTTTTGTTATTTTTACAAAAGAAAGCTTAAAATTAATTGTTCTCTATTTACTAATATTAATTACGGATTATATTTTTCTTATGCTATGTTACAGCACTCATTGGAAACATTCACTGAAAATCGACAAGTTTGTTGGTCTTATGAACCTTATGCTGGCGGTCATATTGATGGTCCATTAATGAAGCAATGTTATGATCCATGGGAAATAACAGTTGACCCATTGCGACAATTCGATCGCCATAATGTCAAGTTAATTATGCCACATACTGAGATGTTACAAGCTTGTCCTGATTGTGGTGGTGCTGGACGAATCGAATGTGCATTTTGTCATGGAAAAGGAAAGGTACAAGATTATTACTTGTAATGATTGAGATTTTTACTGTTCCTTGTAAATATTTTCTGATAAAATTTTCATCGATTTTCATCACCATAGATGACTTGCAATACTTGTAATGGATCTGGCTATACTTTTGGATTTTCAGGTGAAGATCGACAAATGTGTGTTCATTGTTTCTCCGGTACAGTTACCTGCGCTCATTGTAAAGGCAAGGGTATTCATGGCTGCTCAATTTGCTCAGAGGCAGGAGAGATTAAATGCTACGTTCAGCTAATTGTCCATTGGTGAGTATGTATAATAGATAACTTCAGCGTTTTACTAATCACTTATTTTTTTCTATATTCTGTTTTTAGGAATAATTATACTGATAGTAGCTTAATTGAACATTCATCAGACATTCCCAAAGACATATTGAAAAAAGCTACAGGAGAATTGGTTTATGACGAAATCAATGATCGTAAGTATTGAAGTGAAATTTAAGCATCGCATTTGATAATTTGTTTTTCAATCTTTCGTGTTTTATGTCTATCACTCGATCATTAGGCATCAAGTAAGTGTAGCTTGATCTCATCGTGTCCATTTCATTGCCGAAATATTCACATTTTAATTTGTTTCATTTCTTTTTTTCGTGTTTAGGCCAATCAGATATTTACTCGGAGATAAGGAAAATAAGAGTGTCGTTGATCTCATAAATAAACATATTGCTCGTTATTTTTCAAAAGCAAAACCTCTGGCTCATGTAAATATTTCCTTATCATGTTTTGTGATTCAATTGTAATTCATTTCTATCTTTATATTTATTTCCAACAGAAACAACGAATCCAACGCATTCCCATAACTAAGGTCACATATGTTTGGCGTAATAGTACAAACAAGTTTTGGGTCTTTGGAAATGAAAAAACCGTTTATGCACCTCATTACCAGCAAAAGTGTTGCTGTGGCTGTACAATCCAGTGAAAAGTTGATTGACAATCAAAAATTATGCTTTTGCGGGTATTCACTCATTTAAATTTTACTTACACAGTTGTAAGTGAACTTTATCGTTGAAAAAATTTTAAAGCTTCCCATTTTGGAAGAAGTTGGCGTTTTTGGCACCCAGAACCACTGACAAATGGTATTGATCATGGTTGGTCCATGGTATGGATAAAGAAACAACAGGAATAATTGTGGCTTACAGAGAAAGAATTGTAAAGCAATATTTTTTGCTTTCACTAAATAAGAGTCTCTAAACGTATCATAAACCCATCTTCATCAAATATTAATATCTTTAATATTTCTATAATTCTGTTGAGAAATTCTAATTGTTGTCAAAATGAACAAAATTTACTTTTGTTGTATCTTAATTAAAGTCCTTAAATTGGTCTTTGCAAGAGTAATCTCAAAAAAATATAAACAAGTTGGAATAAAACGATTCTGGTTACACAGGAAAGTGGATGAATTTGAGATGATCCATAAGAAAATCTGTGAAGAGGAAAATAAAAACATGAATCGGATAAGAGTTTTTAATGAAAATTTGATCAGAACTGGTTTTCCTCATCTTTCAAATTTACCCTCCGAACCGTCATTCGCGTATTTCCTTCAGTGTAATTTTATCCATTGGCTAATACTTGAAATAGCTCAATCATTTCATATTTTGAGCATTCAATTGAGGCCCATAGGTGAGGCCATGGCTAACAGATGATAAACTGGTAACTTTCACACAAGCACATAATAATAATAAAGCAACTAAACATAGTTAAAATGAAAATGAAGATGATAATTCGTAGAGCATGTAACAGAATTAGATGTTTTTTTAAGAAAATCAAGAAAGCTTTCTATTTTGCTGCAGATGAAGCTGATAGAGTTTATGATGGATTATCCTGAATCAATCATCAAATTGAATTTCAGCTCTCAATAATAATGATAATAGTAAAGTCTTAGGTTCAAGTTGACTCGTTTAACAAGCAACATTGGTTAAACTTTTTGATTATGCAGTTTTTCAACCTTGTTAACAGAAGGAGAAAGTTAATGGTAAAAATGATAAATAAATGTATATCGAGACTCTTTCTCCATCATTATCTTCATCGCTTTTTCATCATCACCATCTTTTTTCATCTCCACCGTTGTCCTTACCTTGTAGTGTCACTAGAAAGACGGACTAAAACAAGATTTAGTCACTTAGAAAGGTAAGATTAATAGGATATTAAAAAACAAGAGGCCAAAATTGCAAGATCATCTATACTTACCTTTCCTTACGTAGTCTCTCAATTTAATCACCAACAATTACTTTTCCTAATAAAATGGTTAACTAGAAATGATCCGATGGTTGATGATACTTAGATTCAGGTTGATGATGTTGATGAGTATCATGATGATGATGAGAATTAAAATGATGCTCATAATAGGCAAATATTTACTTAGATCACGATCCCAATCAAAAGGATCATTATACAAGCAAAAAGTACTCTTTGTAATAGTTTGTATACAAAACTGTTGTTTAACTCACCAATGAAAAGCCAGAAAAAGCAAACCAATGACAAGTGAAGAGGGAAAATCAAGTTAACACTAGCATTTAATCTGATATTAATATTAATAAATTATTTCCATTCAAACCATTCATTATTATTTCAATTATAATACTTTATCTCGTTAAATTTAGAAAATATTTTACCTGAAAACTGAATTTAAATGGCAGCATTTGTATAAAACCCAATCCATTTACAAGGTGCATAACGATTAACTGTGAAAATAACGTTAAGCTAATTAAAATCTGCAATCGGAATGAAAAATTGTTTTTTAATCATGTTTGTACAATCTGTTTTTTTTCCTCTTGATTTTCATCTGATCTATTTGCCTAATTGATTGTTCATTCATTCACTGATTTACAATTCAAACCAATGGGAAAAAAAGGTTCAACCATTTGTAAATTGAAAAGCAAACCAAAAAAGTATCTTCATCCTCATCATGATCAATATTCACAGTAACCTTAACCTTTGCTCAACTAAAATTGAATAAATAGATCAACAGTAATAGCTTTTTGTTTGCTCATCATCATCAAATCAATTACTTTAAATGGATGCCAATTAAATTGTATCCAACCTTTGATTTCATCTCAATTGTCATTCACCACAAATTTCATTCAAATATCGACCCTAATTATGCCATTATAAATCACCAGAAAAAGCAAATCTTCAAATGAAAAGATGAAACCAGAAAGTAAAACCCAAAAAATTGTCTAACCAGAATTGGTTGAAAAGTTTTAAAATTAACCCAAAACCAGGTTAAATTGAGAAATTATTTAAACATTAATTCAATTAAAGATTAGGTTAACCAGAAACAGTAATAAGTAGAAACCCAAAAACCATTGCGATTTATCTTGAAGCACATCTGGGTTATAATGATGATCATCAATTTCAATAATTAAGTTTACAGTGAATACAACAATCAAATGGACAATCTTAATGTAATCAAGTAAAGTGATTAACAAGGTAACCCTGATAATCACTGTTTACCCACAAAAATTGATCCGTAAGTTAACCTTTAAATTTATTCTGAGATGTTGGAGCAGCAAATAGGAATCTGAAAAAATACAATTTACTGAACAACTGTCAGGCTTAAAGTGTATAATTAGAGTTAGTGAAACTATTAATTTACATTAAAAAATATCGGTCATGACGTCTATGGATTGACCTTAACCCAAGCTCAATTTAACCTTAAGTTGAACACAGAGCTTGATAGGCCTAAGGCTAATTTCATGTTCATCTTCTTGACCCATTTTAGTCTCCATTTTCATCTCTTCATCATCTCTAGACTCTAGAGCCACAGCTTTCTAGTTAACCAGATGATGAGAAGCTCAAACTAACCAAAAATTGATTGTAACTTTTAATTATTGCGGTTACTTGGGTAACTGCAAGTCATTTATTTTACTTATTATCATTATTAAATCATTGATTTAATGAAAACTCTTGCATAACTGAAGCTCAAGATAATCACATTTCATATTCAACAAGATTCACTGTTTTCGGGTTATAATTTTACTCATCTCTAACTTTACTTGCGATTTCAAATGATTTAACCATTAAAATGATTATTTACTATTAATTATCTGTAACAATTCAATTTCAATCACTCGACACTTGAACATCAATAATCACTTTGATAGTTTCGTCTTCTGTTCACCTCAAAACCATTACCAACCCAATTACCTGGTTTTCATTTAAATGTTAATTGTCACTTCTTGATTGCACATTGTTAATTAGTCAACTGCTTAAGGCTTTACAGGGTAAAGTCAACATCTAACCGGTTAAAGGTTCATCTTTCCAGAAAACAAGAATACGCTTTAATTATCTCATTGTTACCATATTATTTAATGATTGGCATTGAAATTAAATCATTGAATGATCATTGCTAAACACCTTTAATGAAAATCGTCTAGAAAAAGTAAAATCATTCAAAATTAACCTGAAATTTTGCCATCTAAAACAAAATTCACTGATCGACTCTCATTTTCAGAGCTTTTGTGAGAATCAAATTTTCTAATCGCTCGTCCAATCTAAGGTCAGTTTAGTGCCATAAAATGATATTCATGGCTAGTATGAGGGTCGAACTCATGACCTCCGCGTTATTAGCACGGCGCTCTAACCGACTGAGCTAACCAGCCATTTATGTGGATCAAGATGATTTTATTATTCAATTGAAAGCAATAAACATTTGAAAATGTTTAATTGGATTCCATTTGAATTGCTGAAGATAATTCTGAACGCCATCTTTTGAGCTTCCCCTGTTGAGTTTATTTTAGCTTAACTCATGAATTCAGTGATTGAGATGACTCAATGTTATCAGATAGATTAACCAGATGAATGATAGTGAACGCTTTTTGCTTCTTGTCATTGCATTGTATCCATTGACTGAACAATTGCTTTTTAGGCAATTTTTTCCTATTCTCTTGAATGTTTCATCCTTTAAGAGTTCAATTTGACAACAATTTTAAATAGTAAAGTCAATTTGATGATATCATTCAAGAGTTGACTTGAATTTTAAACGATTAAATCGATATTCACTATTTAATCAATTGAACCATTAAATAAAAAGGTTTTACAATCAATCCAATAAAAAAGTTGTCACGATTTTCATTGATCGATTCATCTCTATCATGGATTATTGGTAAAGTTTCAATTTGCAAAATTTCCTTCAATTTAGCAAAACTAAAATCAACTAAATCAGTTGAAAGTGAAATCTTAAGTCAACCAATTTTGTTGTAAAAATTGGAAAAAGCTTTAAAGAAATGCTCAAATTTCAAAACACAAAACATAAAGGTTACCAAAATACCTGAAAATCAAAACACAGATTTCCAGAATTCACTTTTCTAATGATCAGAAAAAATGGTCGATATATCGACAAATTTTATCGTTCAATTGAACATTTCAACTCATAAAAATAACCACTGATGAGAAGTTAAATTAAAAAAAGCGATTCTTCAAAAAACAGTTTTGGGCAAACATTCATTTAGATCAGTAATTAAATGTTTAATGGAATCGACTAAATTGATGTAAATGGCTGGTTAGCTCAGTCGGTTAGAGCGCCGTGCTAATAACGCGGAGGTCATGAGTTCGACCCTCATACTAGCCAAGTGTATTTTTTGTCGAGTTTGGGAAAAGCAAATTAAATGGAAGCTTCTTGACAATGTTTTTCACTTTTGTCGCATGAAATTTGTCTTTTAGATTGTTTTTGACATGAGTTTCAACAACCAACTTAGTTTCTTGTTAATTAATTATAAGCTTTATTCTTAGCGTTAATTAGTTTGATTTTGTCGGGAAAATTAAAAAGCTGAGACTTTATTATCGAAATCTATTTTTGTTGTTTGTCTATTATGTAGCTTGTCAGTTACTTTAATGAAACTTCAAATGTAGGCAAATTGTTGACACGTTCAAATGAAACTGTGTCTCTCTTTGTCCAACCAATCATCTGATTAAAACTGTGAGTTCAACTCAAAGTATTCCAATCATGAATATGGAAAATCTTAATAAGGTTACTCATTTCATTGGAAATATTAATCGTAATTGAGTCTGTAGATGACATTTTTTCTTACTCTTTTAGATTGATAATTTTTTTTCCTCTTCTCTCCTTTTTTTGATAACTGACGAATTACTTCCGGCAAAGAAGTTAATGCCCATGCTGTGTTAGGGTGGCAAGGAAGATACATGAGAATGAAAATGTGAAAAATAATGATAATGATAAAAGCAATAGTAATAATAGTGATAATGGGTATTATAAGATCGGAGGTCACCAAACTTGATTGGTTCCAACAGTGTCAACAAAGATCCTCCTCTGTTAAACAATCAATTACCTTTATTTCATCTAACTAACTAATCTACATTCATCTTTATCAAATGATTGATACTTTACCAATTCATCATTATTATTATTATCACATCATAATTATATTACTTTTCTGGCCCAACATGAAGAAGAAGAAGAAGATTGAGTGAAGAAAAAAACAAAGCTAATAAGATATGATATTTCCGCTTTGTATATCATGGTAAGTTTCATGTCAATAAGCAGACATTGATTCAAGCCATAATGAAAAGAGTTGAGTGTGAACTTGAAGGATGCCATGTGAGGGAGTTTAACTGCATTTGAGAGTCAAAAATAAAACGGTCAACTCATCATTATCATCTTCAAGTGGAAAGGAGTGATGAAAAAAAATAATAATGAAAAGAAGACCAAATCATGTTCATCGTAACCTGTTAAAAGGTTTTCTTTGCCATTTTCCAGCTTAATAACACGGAATGTAGGGAAAAAACAATATATAATTTGGTTGATTGTAGATGCATCTTGGTGTAACTCGATGCAAACCTGATGATTCTCAATTTTCATCTTTCTCAGAATTACAGGGTAATCAAAATAAATTTTGCATCCTTTTTTTTCCTTCACATTGACCGAATCAACTTTTTTGTTGCTTGCCATCCTCTAAGCTCCTCACAGACTCACAACAGTTTACATTTATAGCAACAACGAAGGGTTTATATTGAAGACGATTCAAGATGATGATCATAGCAAGACTGTGAAATGATGAAAAAAAAGAAAAAAAATGTTAAAAGAAAGAAGGAAACTGATGATGAAATAAACACAAACCAAAAGAGAGATGATGAATCTGCCAAGAACAAAATCAACAAGAGATTTTGTTGAAAGTTTTTTCCATCCAAAACATCAACAGCATTACCATTGAGTAGAGAAAAGGAGAAAAAAAATTGGAAATATGAGAAGAAGCAAGTTGAATTTCTTTTGATTCCTTGACCATCCTTTTGATGGAAGATGTGTATCACCAACATTGCCATAACCATTAACTTTCCATATCTTGTGTGACTTGTTTCAGTCTTTTCTTTCATCCCCTCTCTTTGGATCAACAGCTCTTTCATACACCATCACCATAATCGTCATGTATTCATGCTAGAATAAGAAAAATATTGTTGGCTTGGTTGGAAAAAAGACGAGAGAAACCAAGAAATGAAATTGTTTCACCAAAATCAATCTATTTACAGTTGATGTTATTATTGTTGTTTGGTTTTGCATTATAATACAATAGCTGCAAGCCAATGTTTGCTCAAACATAGAGAAACAAAAAAGGTAAATATTGGTAAAGTTGTGTGGCTCTGAGTGTATGTGTGTGTAACTAATGTTGATATTTGGCTGTGAACATCAGTTGAACATCATCATCTTTTCATTTCTCTCTAGTTTGACTGTTTATACCAAGTGAAACCATGTTTATACCATTTTCATCATTACCACGAACCATAACCATCAACCGATTAGATTTTCCATTAAATAGGTTCTTTTTTGCTTTGAATGTAATCTATTAACAGCAATAAATATAAGTAAAAGTTCTTGTAATGTGCATTTCACAGGTTGACACATTTGTCAATCAGGTTGTCGCCTTGTTTTTGCCACCAACTCAACACCTCACAGTCTTGTCCTTGTCTTTAACCATTTTAACTGTATTTACTTCATTTTTTCCCAGTGATCACATTGATTAATTTGCAATTTAAATTAACTGTTAGACAAATATTAACATAATAATCATTAAACGATAAAACACAAAAAAAAATCTAAAGACAAAAGAAAAATAAAATTTAAATTTAGACAAAAAAAACCGTTAACGTGCATAACTATTCGTTAACAACCAGTAACCAACCAAAGCAAACCAATAGATGAAGCGAGGGAGATACAAAAAGATACCCTTTTCCCAGTTAGAATGAGATTAAAATATTTACAATTCAAACCATGTTTACCAACCACTTAATCATTCATCTCTGAATCAAAATGACAATATTAATTGTAAATTAACTGCAAATGGTTAACCACTAGACGTTTGGTGAAAATGAAAAAAAAACTGTTTTTCCGAGGTTTAAAAATAAAGCAACAAAAAAATCATTGAACCAGGCAAATGTTTGAATATATTCCTGAGGAAAAGAAAAACAAAAGACAAGATTCAGTTTCAAGAGATAGACTAATGTTACAACCATGACTTACAGGGAGAGAGAGTGAAACATGAAAAAAAATCATTATTATGATCATTATCAAAATGATATTGAATTATATGTTAACAATGGTTAAGGTTAAAAGTAAAGGTAAAACAAAATGTTTAAAGTAACCTACATTTGGACCTTTCAATGGCAACAAAATACAAAAAAAGTATAAAAGCAAGAGTAAAAAACATATTTTTTGATAAATAATCCATTTCATTTGATAAATCATTTCTCATCATCAACATCATCATGTATCGTTTTAATACTTTCTTAAGACCCATTAAAAACTTTACCTTCAACAGTTGCCTTTAATGTTATTAAATTTTTGCTGATCATTAAATTCACCCTTTTATTTACAAAGATAGAAAGCTATTTTATATACTTTTCATTTGGTTTCCTCCATTCATCACCCTGGTCAACACAGGGTCACCATTTTAATGGTCATACAGATAATTGAAATCGTTAATGTTACATGCTGATCAAAGACTGAAAACAGAAGCAATCCATTTCAAGTTTATAGACTGGATCAGCAAATGAAGAGCTAAAAGGTTGTCTCTAGACTCAGATTTATTCAAACATTGAACCAACCCAGGACAATTAGCTTGTAATTGTGACCAGAAATTGACAAAATTAAAATTGATTTGGAACATGAAATGGTTGGAAAAAGGTAAATATCCAAATCTTGTTACAATTGATTTTCCTTGTGCACATCATTGAAAAAAAGGTTGAAATGAGCTTTTAATTTTCAACTTTTTACCATTTCTTGCATGCTTTACCATAGGCTATCACATCTTTCAAGGTGGTTTGTTCATATTTACATCAACATCATTTGAAGACAATAATAAACGCAACAAGTTTTCAATATTATTGCATTCATCAGTCAATCATTCACATAATATTTCATCCTTTTCTTCATCATGTTATCACGAATCGGTCAGCGATCTCTTGAGGGTGGCCAGCAAAGAAGTAGAAAGGTAAGAAATGAGATTGATGATGATGAGGTAAGAAGCTATTCAAGGTTGTAATATTGTTCAGAAGGGAAACACTTTCAGCTAAATTATTGCCAATTTATTGTAATAACAATTCCCAAAGTCAATAGCAATCAACAAGTTTTAAAAGCAAAATTTATCTCTAAAATTGTGAGGCCTTTTCTGTTTTCACATTTCACAGCCAAAAAAAAGAGTAAATCTTGCTATAAATGAGATTATGATTACATTACATATCGCTATTATTGCAGGTAATTTTGACCTGAAGATTGGTTTTAAAGTGTTAACAAGTAAAAGTATGAAAAAGGCCTTTGATTGCGTGATTCAAACGTTATTATTGTTAAAAGGTTTGACAGTTTCAACAAACATTTCAAAAGGAAGCTCAATATTTTCACTTTTAAATGAAACGATTTCTAGCCTTTTGCTGGACTCTGGACAGCTTAAACTTGACCCATTTCTACATGGATTAATGAGTTTGTAGTCCAATCTTGCCCAATGGATTCCCTAATAATGGTCAAATGTTTCGAAATCACTCTCAATAGTTTCATATTTTATCCTGAAAATGTTACAAACTTGCTCAATGTCATTATTTTGTATTGCATTTAGCTTTTGTTTAACCTTTTTCCTACCAATCTTCAAATGGATAACATTTTCATGATAAAAACCTCTACAAGTTTCATCTTTTTTTGTTCCCTCTTCCATTCATCTTCTACCTCTTTATCTTGCTACTTCTTAGATTTAGTTGTACATTAGATTCACTCGAACCTTTAATCCTTTGAGATTAACTGAATTACATTGGCAACTTTCATTCCATTTGTTTCTTTGTTTCTCTTTTCCTCCTATTTTTGATAGTATCTTTGATTGATAAGCTGTTTTTTAGGTATCAACCTTAGTCTCTTTTGTTACCTTAACAGTTGCTCTTGAATTGACTGTCAAAATGAATGGATAGCATTATGAGCTTCAATTAAACAGCTAAACATGACAAAATCTCTTCTAACTCATTATTCGTCTTCAATGGTCATATGCTTTGGATAACGCGATCATGGGTTGGATCAAATGAACAAGTCAAATCACAGTTTTGAATCCAGAGATTCATTTGCCTCTAATGTGAACGCACTTGGCTCAAGTGTTTAACGTTGAAATCAAGCAATAAAATATCAATTGAATCTCAATTCACTTTGAATTGATTCAAAATTGGCTTTGAAAGGCTTTTTCACTCTTAAGCTAATACATAATGACCTGAAGAAACGTTGTTAGTTGATTTTGAAAATTTTCATCAGATATTGTTCATTGTATAATTGGAAGACCATGACAGCTTATTAAAGGCATGATTTTAAATGATTCAACAATGTGGTTAACCTTTTCTAAAAAAATGATTATCTAATCTGATTTTTATTAAAAATCTATTTGCTGGTAATAAACCATGTTTCAGGTAATAAAATGCATGGAAAAGAAGAAATGTGCTGAATAAATGAGTTGAAATTATTTATACTTTTTTTATGCGCAAAATTTGCCTGGATGGCGATAAAACAAGGAGAGAAAGGTTCACACAAAAATTGCACTCAAAATGGATATAAATCAAATTACTATCTTTTTCTGTAGATAAAATCAAATAATCCAACAAATCAATAGTTGCCACCCTCAGTGATTCTTGAACGCGATGGGTAGCACTGATAGAGAGTGTTTAAAGTCAATTGAAATATAAATAGCAAACAAGGTTATAATGGGCTCACAAATTCACAATGATAGTGATGAGCCAACGACCAAGATAACTTGTTACGATGAAAAAACTAAAGTGATTACTTCACAGACAAGAGGCTTCTCTTGAGCTACATTTGATGGGACAAGTGGGACTTGTTAGGTTGAGAGACCAAGACTTATGGACTAATCAAACTAAAGACTAGTCACTAGACTTATGATGATGGCGGTCATGACCATGATGGTGTTGTTGGTGATGATGAAAATGATGATTTTATGTTCATAAAATTGATTGTCTTATGTTACTTTTTTTGGTCTAGTAAGTCAACTTTGCCAACCGGAGAAGTCTCAATACGTGGGTTGAAAATGTGCATCAACTTGGCTGAGATTTTGCGTGACTTTTTTTATGTCTTTTAAGTAACAATCTTTAATCATAATCATCAATGCAATGAGCTGAATTATAGATCACCTATGGATGTAATTGAAAGAATGTGCAGATAATATTGAAAAGGGAATCTTTAAGGTGATGATCAAAATTATTGTTGATAACCTACAATTAGCCAACGAATGAATCGTTTGTTCGTGGTTACCAGGGCTTTTCACATTTTATGCCTTTCGTCTATCTTATGCATATGCTTTTAGGCATAAAAGATAAACCTAAGAAAAGTCCATTGATTTTCAATGGGAAAAATTATCAACAAGATTGGTCAAAAAAAAGGCGACTATCTTTTATTTAGGACAGATTAAGGTTGATAAAATTGAAAAAAGAAAGAGAAAAGAAAGGGAAAAGATAGACGAAAGGCATAAAATTTATGCCTTTTTGATTAAAAAATGATTTAATGCCTTTTGAAAAGCCCTGGTGGTTACTAAACACTACATTTGGTAGACTGCAAGATTAATGCATATCTTTAAAAAAATTGTAGCTTTGTTACCCGATCTACAGGTAAAGATGAGGAGAAGAAGAGGAAAAAATGTTGAGATGCTAACAAAAAATCAACTTTAAACTAATCTTGTATTGTAAGGGAACATTCAACAACAAAAGGCTTTTGGCTTGACTTATGTATCCAGTAGATAGCCATTACTAAATGTATCCATGTTTTGCTTCAAAAGTGTAGGTAAAAAGGTACAGGTAAAGAAGGGGAAAAGAGAGAGAGAGAGAGAGAGAAAAAAGAGAAAAGAAAAGATAAAGAGAAATGAAAAGCCAAAGAAGATATTTGATAATATTTTACATGGAAAAGGTAAAAGTGCTTGTAACAAGCATGAACCCTGGTAAACAGCTAAAAAAGCCTGAGGGAAGAAAAAAGTTAAAGTTGAAAGTTATTTCACCTTGGTCAAAGAAAGGTAAAGGTAGAGAAGAAGATGAAGCAAAAAGGAGGTTAAAGATTGGCCCACCTAATGGTAAGTCTATGGGGCTACAAAAAGAGCAAAAGGTTGATATTTCATGTAAAAATGTTCAACAATATCATCCTGGGTTTCCATGATAATTATCCTTCTGGTAATCATCTTTTTACTCGTTACTTTTGTCACAATTTACTGAAAATTACAAGTTGAGTTACCCCTAACTGAGTAAAAGAGTTTTTACTTTTTTCTTCTTCTCTTCTTGAATTTTTTTTCTTTCTAAATTGAATGTTGAATAGCAAGATGAAGATGAAGATGATGAGTAGCTTTTTCTCTCTCTCTTCTCTCACTTCTCCCTCCATTTTTCACCCTTAAACTTTTCTCTATTCCAATGAGTTTAGTCTTTGTTAGTCCGTTCATCGGTTCGTTTTATAAGTCAAGTTACTGACCCTGGACTAGTCCGTTGGTAACTTTCCTTTAATATGTTGTAAGGTGAGAAAAGGCAAGGTTATCCAACAATCATCCTCCTCTTCATCTTCATTTTTGGACTCTTCTTTGAATCTTGTACTGTGAAAGATTTACCATTTATCAATATAACATTTCTTGTTTATAAACTAGAAAACGTTTCTTTCCCTTCTAGCCTCTTTGCCGTGTGTGTTTTTTCATTTATGTATATAAATTATCACCTCATTTTATCCAGCTTTTACTGTCAACACAATCATCATCTAATTATCATCTTATAATTAACTTGCTCCAAGTAATATTATTAATTAATTGTGTTATGTTTAATGTTACATGGTTTTGGTGGAAAGCAAAGGATTTGACAAGAAACGTAATGCTATACGCTTTGTGTTACCCATGTGATCACATCATGTGAACTTGTACAGCTACATTAACTGTAATCGTTTGGCTTTTTTTTCTCGATAACCATTTTTAATCTAAATTCAGCTAGACTATTGTTAACATGTTGATTGTAATTAATTGTTTATTGTCAATTACAATTATGAGTTGAATGTGCCAGCTTTTGTCCGTTTAAAGTGTTTTTGGTTACAATTGGAGTTGTAAATTTGTAAATTTGCGTTTTTATTTCTTCCTAAACAAGGCTAATGGGTCTCTTTGATTTGCAACTTTATCCATGTGTGAATGGCCAGTGTCTACAGTATCGCAATAAATTGGATTTAACTAGTTATTTAACCACAATTGGTACTACATCTACACCGATATCTGATGCAACAACAAGTGCACAGTCAGTGAATTCAAAAATGATTGATTGGCAGGGCAAAGGTCTAATGCCAGTCAACTCTCTGACCAATTCATCTTTTGACACTAATGGTACTCTTTACTCAAGCATAATCAATGGATCATCGCCTGTAACACTGGTTACAACAACAAAATCTTCATCATGGATACCAATACAAGCCTTAGGTTTAAATTTAAGATCTGAATCATGGGTCATACCTTTGTTAACTTTGTCCTCCATCAACATACTTTTTATCCTGTTGCTTGAAAGCTTAGTGATCTTTCGTGTCCACCGTAAAACATCTAAACCACCTCAACTATTCCTTGGGCAGACTCTTCTTCTAGCCCTTCTTTTAACCTCTCTACACGGATTTGCAACCCTTCTCTCCCCCAACCATTTAACTTGTACCCTTAACCAGGCTGGCCTGGGTCTTGGTTATTCCCTCATTTTTGGTACTCTTTTAGTGAAAAGTATATTCCTGTTGAGCCTTCACTCGGGAACTTATCTTCCTCTTCTCTATCAATTTTTACTCCTCTTCTTTATCATGTCCACTCAAATAATACTCAGTATTCAAGGAATCTTTACTTCCCCTGCTTTCTGGGATCACTTTAACTTTTGGCCAACCTTTTCGTCACCCTCTTCATCTTCATCATTACTATCTACTAGTTCAACATCATTACCATCAAATAATGTAACATCGTCCACCGATCCATCATCATCATTATACCATTATTCAACTAAACAGCCAACCCTTTGCTCTGACCTGTCAACTAATGACACTTATTACTACAGCCTGGGATACAATATTTTACTTCTCACCATTGTTTCAATAATATCATTTCGTATCCGTCGTCATCGGGAAAATTATCGTGAAGCACTTTTCATTGCCATCTCAGGTTTTGCATCAATCCTTATCTGGATAACTTGGATAACTGGTTCTTTGGTTTCCCATGATTCGGGTCATGATGCTTTCACTGGATTTGGTTTACAAGTAAACTCATTGATTATTTTCCTTGTAATGTTTACACCCAAAGCCAAACAATTGATTAAACTATCTTGGGTTAAAGGTGATGCCTCGGGAGGAACCGGTGTTGACCTGGACGATGATGAAGATGATGGTATTGTCAATGAATACTGTGATGATGAAGATGATGGATGTGATACAATGAGACGAGAGCTAAGAGATGCAGTTGGAGGAAGACGTTTTGGTGGTCGAGAAGGAGGACGTCGAAGGCAACGACAAAGACCTTCACTGGGCAACAGGATAGGAACCATCAATCGAAATGGCTGTTCCGTTGAATATTCTGGACACGATTCAAATCAATCTCTTTGTGCCCAATCGTTTGTCCATCTAAACCCAAATTACCTTTCACATGCACATTTACTTTCTCGTCCATTTTATCATCCTCTTCACCATCCAAACCATCAGTATCCTCTTCATCAACCTAACCGTAAACAAAACCAGGCAAAAGCCAAACAATCCCACCAAATTTATTCATCAAGTAATAATCTTGTTCACTCTCATGGTCATTTTTATTCACAGCCACCACCACCACAACAGCCATCACAACCCATGGATAGCATAAGATCATCCCAAGAGAATTGGAATCACCAAAAGAATCTACTTAATGGAAGTAAATCATCAACTAATCATCGATCAGATAGATTCATTTATACCAATACTTTATTGAAATCATTGACTGATGAAAGTTTTTCCTTCTACCGGATACCCAATATACCGCCAATAAAGCCAATCTATTTGAACAGCAATAGATGAAAAATTCGAAAATTGTTCAACTATCCAAGCCTTTGGTAAACAATCATGACCACTGTGAATCCATTTCAACCTATTCATTGCCTCAACCGTCTTCATTTTATACAATCTTCAAAAATTTAACCATTTAATGGAGCAAACCATTTCGCTTGAAAGACAAGATAATTTATTGATCACTTTTTTTCACTGGACACATTTTGTTTCCCATTAAATATGATAATTAGACTAATAAAATCACGAAGGATTCCCAATCATGATTAAATGTGAAAAAGATGTCAATGAAACTGTGGTTGCTGTGTCAATCAAGTCAACTGTTATTAACCATTTTGTACTCAATAATGATTACCATTTTGTTCCCTTCCTACTATCAACCAAATTTAATATGAAAATTTGTAATTTGATTTGTTTAAAGTTAAACTTAAACTGTCAAGATTAACATATTAATGATGATTTTATTAAAAAAAGTGTACAATAAATATGCAAACATGTTGACTGAGAAACATTTTTCTGCTTTCTTACCTATTTTTACAAAGATCACTGATTTAACCAAATTGACAATCAAACACGCAATCAAATTGAGTGACAAAAAGCAACAATGAAAAGGACAAGAATAACAGAAAACGGTTGACATAATATTAGCATTAAAGAGTCTAAATAAAGTGTAAAAGTATGACCATTTGATATCAACGCTGAATAATAAATTTGACAGTTCAATGATAATGATAACTAATAGTATAATGTTATTGTCCCAAAAATCACTTGATTTACACTTATCAAAATGACTGATTATCATTTGAAAGACAATTTATTCCCAGTTAATTGTAATGAAATGAAATTGATATGAAAATCGCTTGTTGCCTCAATTACCATTCAACTTGCAACCTTTTTTTCAACTCAACATTCACCAACTTTGAACCAACCTTTTAAATATTTCAGAAACTTTGATTGAACCCATTTGCCTTTGACGATAATATCATTAGACTGAAAGTGTTGATGTTTTTGAAAGTTTCAATCATGAAATTCTGGAACATTTCATTAATTTTCATTTCTCCAAAAAGAAAGAAAAGGTGAAAACAGGGGAAAAAAGATAAAAACAATGAGAAGAATATGATTAATTTTGTTCATCTTTTGATAATCTCAGATTGACATGAAAATTTTGTGAGTCAAACAAAGAGAAGTGAAAAAAGGTTAAAAATAGGTTGATCTCTTTTGGCGTAAATCTATTGATTAACAATCCTTTATTTTACCTTTTGGATAATTATTTTTACCTGAACATTATTATTGTAAATGCGATTTGCATGTTGTGAAAGTTGATTGAGAAGAGAGGAAAAAATTTCAACTGAGAACAAAAATATTAGGTGAAAAAAAGAAGAGCATTTGAAATGTTCATTTCAGGTTCACCCACTCAAAGAGCAACAAATATCGAGCAACAAAAAAATGCCAGTTTTTCATGGATATCGATTCGCAAATCATTCAATCTGAAATTAGACAAGAGTAGAAACAAAAATTATATAATAACTGACAAATTAAGAAGAAGCAAAAAGAGAAGCAAAAATATGATGAGAAAGGATAAGTAAAAAGGAAAATCATTTTCAGGATTTTTTTCTCTCTTCTGTTTCACTCCCAGTTCATCACTGTTCACTGTTCAGAAGTTCACTGTAACTCTTATGCTTCTAATTTTTTCCAGTCTTTTCATCATTCTTCTCCTCATTTCATCATCTTCATCTCATGGCAAAATCTTCTTGACTCTTATTTTCCTTTCAGTTTCATGAGAATACGCATGATCTTTCATCATCAACTACGATTTACGTTTATTTATTTTTTTCATCTTCTATGCGTTTCCACTCATTGACTCACTCACTCCTTGAAACTCCCAGAAAATTTCATATCACTTACTTTATATCGCTTTCCATTCCCAGTTTCATTTACTCATTGATTCTGTCGTTTCTTTCCTCTTTTCCTGTAATATCATGTGAACTTGTTATTAACATTATTGTTATCATTGTTTTTGTGTTGCAACTGACTCAACCATTGGATTCATCAATTGAAACTAGTTATTACAATTAAAGCCAAAATAACAACAAATGATTCAACTTTCCATCAACTTTTTTTATATTTAGTTTTTTGTTTGGATTCATTTTTACTTCATTTTTGGTGAACTTTCAATCTGTGTGTTTAAGTGTACATTTGTTTGCAAACTATTCAACTATTGAAACTGTTCAAACTTTTGGATTAAATTAACTGCATCAATCAGTGGATATAAAATAACGACTTGGTTGAGATTTGTTTTATCATCCATCAAATGTTGTTCAACCCTTTCAACGTGTCTTGATGTTAACTGTTATGTTTCAATATTTTAACTAATTGTGATATTTTCAGTGCTTGTCAACACACTGGATTAAGATTGAACAAGAAACTACAAAGTTTAAAAGTCAAGTAAGTCAACACTTTTGATATTTGAGTTTTAACCAGTTTTTTATTTCCTTTCATTTCTTCCTTCACTGTTCAATTGTCAACTGATATCAAAAGTGATCATTCAAACAGGTAAACATGAACACAGATAAAACAAAAAATACATTGAAAATATATTTCATTTTGAATCGATAAATTGTCCAAATAATGGTCACCATTTGTCATGCTTTTTCAAAATACAATGGACATTAGTTTTGGTGCAGTTTAACCTTCAAGTCAAAATTAAAGTACACATGCACAATATTGATTAAAACATAAGCAAGTTAAAAATTTATTGAAAAGAAATAAGGAAATGAAATTGTGATTAATCAATTGGGCAATATTATAATATACTGCGAATTCAAAAAACTTAGTATCGATAATCAATTTTAACCGTCTTCTTGTAATCAATTTTTATGGTGACAAGTTGCATTATAAATGAAAATAATGAAATAAAAATTGAAAAAAACTTTCCGAAATAATTTTATTTGAGCCAAACATAATATTGATCATACCTTTAAGTTACCTAAATTGTTGAATTGGGTTTGTTGAATTTTGACATTCTTAAATATTGAAATCTCCAAGATCTGATGTTGTACATAGATGATATTTTAGTCCTCAACCTTTTGAATTATCTTGTTTCTTCAGCTGTTATTAAGCTCTTTTATGATTTTCCTTTCAAATGTGACTGTTTATTTAATTAAAATATTGTAAACCAACTATTTACTTTCTTTTCAGTTTCTATTTACTACAAGAATACAGTAGAAAAAGAGAGTAAAGAGAAAATTAACCACAAGCGACAGTTGCATTTGCGAAAAATAATTTAAAATTAAGTTCATTGGTAAAATTTTAAAGTCTAACCACAGTTGCATTTGCAAAAATAATTTAAAATTAAGTTCATTGGTAAAATTTTAAAGTCTAACCTAACCTAAAGTTTATACATGAATAATAGTACTGATGCAATATAATTAATGGCCATTTCATCCAAATCAATTTTCCTAAATAAACAACAGCAAAAAAGAGAATCTTTGACCCTTTCTCACATAGCTTTATCTCCATTAAATGCGTTAAAAGTTTTGCTTAATCATATTGATTAGTGCTTGTATAATTGTTTATGTTATTAATGCAATTATTGTAGTTGTGAAAATTAATTATTATACTATTTTCCCTCTATGTTTTTTATTTGTTGCTTCCCGTGAAAAGCAGAAATTATTACAGGAAATTCCAGATCTGAAAATGGTTCCTAGATGTGAGACTATGATTTTAATTTTAATTCTCTATATGCTTATAAGATTAGATAATTATAAAATATCCAAAAAAGGCCTGCCACTCTGGCTTTTCATTTTTGAAATGAAACGAAAATGAAATGAAACGTATATATAAGTGATATTGAAGAGATCTTCATCTAGGTTTTATACTTTTTACTAGTAAATTAAAATCATCAAATTCACCGTATCCAATCTAGTTTATAAAACCAATGTTCTTTAAATAATCTATTTTATGTGCGATCAATATGATGGTAACAATTAAAGTATAGGTGCGCACATAAGCAAATAACCGATAACAATTCTTTTTCAAGTGAATGCTCTGTGTTATATTTTTACTTTCGCCGATTTTGAAATAAGTCACTTGTGTCTATTTGAAGTACTCAAACCTCTTACACTTTTTCACGATTTGTGATATCTTCATTCAAATATCGGAATATTTTCCTCATTATCGGCATCATGGATTGTCCAACAGTAAAAAATCATTTTCTTAATCTGTATTACTGCGAATCATTCATTAGATACCATAGGTAAGTGAACTAATTATCTACATCACTGTGTTTCTATTTCACTCTTCTCTTTTGCATTACAAAAAATGTTTGAACTTTTAGATGTTGCGAAATTGTGCTCTAAACTTTGACTAATCAGTCATTTTTATATTGAGGTAGCTTCTGTCAAGCATAATATTATTAATCAACTGAAATTAGGCGCAGAATGAATGGAAAAGAAATGAAAATTTCCATCTTTAATCAATATTTTAGTTTCCAATGAAAGAAAATTAACGATGCTCCTCATGGCGATGATGATTATCTTGGAACATGAGAAGACTAACTCAATTGTTCCAAGTGTAACCATGTTTAATAGTATTATGATTAAAAATTAAAATACTCATTACTATAACAACTTGAAATGATGATTTGATTTTTTCTTCTTTTTCTCTTTTGTTTCTTCTTCACCTTCGAATCGGTAATAAGCATAAGCATCTTGAAAAGCAATCTCACAATTATCAACATCATTATTGATTAAAATTGATTACATTGATTATATAATCATCTTCTGAGTAACCCTGAAAAGATTAAGAACTTTTCTTTCTGTTTATATTTTCTTGCAGTCAGTTTTACTTCATTTGCTTCATATTCATGTTTATACTCTGTTTATATGTTTTTATGTTTATTCATTTTTTATTTCTTTGCGCTTTACTTCATTTCAATTTTGGTCTTCCAACAATTGCTTCAAATTATGATTGATTCAAGCATGATAATGATTATACAACATTTTTATCCAACCTTTTTCTGTATACATATTCATAATAACTTTTAATGTTCAAGTAGTTATGGTAACCTTAAATGGTTAATAGACAAGGAATAAAAAAAAGTAGTCAAAGAAAAAGACAAAAATATTTGGTTTTCCATTTTGTGGTTCAATCTCTTCTTTTCTCTTCATTTTATGCAAAGTTTCCCTGTTTGATGATTCAATTTTCAGGATAAAAATCAGTTTATTGTTGCCATGATTTAACAAGATTGAACAACGAGAAAAATGGTTCAAAAAAGAGGATCAAATTGAGCTTATTATCTTTAATATACAGATGAAAATTATCACAAGTACATGGATAAGGTTTCCCTTTGAGCAATCATTTGTATTTAACTGTTCAAAATTGACGGTTAAATGTTGCTTTTAATTAAACATCAACTTTTTTTTCACAAAATTCAATTGTATTAACATTTAGTCTTGCGAGTTGCACAAGATTCACTAATTAATTCCCTGTTGGTAATTGAAAAGTGATT